AAATGTGCGCACACGGTTTGCCAATAATAATGCATCCAAGGCAATTTCGCGGACTTTCCATGTTTACATAAGCACAATGCACGCGAATGGAAACAATACAGTACAAACATAATATGTGGATTATCATGATCAAATTATGTTTTACAGAAAATAGTCAAAATACGGTTACATCGAACAGGTGAAATTGTTTATTAATCGTTCCCCTTCGAAAAAAATCATCATCCACCACCAAAATGACGTCACCTTGGTATTGACCGAGTTAGGTTAGGTTCGAGAGTGACTCATCTTACGGGCGAAAGCGTTCTTAACCACCCTCCCAGACTCCGACGCGACTGTTTTGGTCGGCGTTTAGTTCTTTAAAAATCTGCTACCTAGGGAATTTGAAAAATTCAAAATATATTGATTCCTAACGATGTACCTCTAATATTGAAAGCATTGCAATAAAGACTTGAATAAAGTGTTCAAGTTGAGTATGGTTCTAAGAAGAAATCGTTTCTAGTTTTGATGTTTCGCAAAAGTATAAGTCATTCGAGTGACTCATCCGCAACGGGTGAAAGCTATCACCACCCCACAGAAAACTAAGCCCGGGTACTTGGATCCACCTGATCGAGAAAAACAGGCAAATTTAAATTAATCCACTTTCTATACGTTATTAAACTAGTATTGACATTAAGATATGATTCAAAAGTCGTTAAATTTTCATGTTCTCCATCATCATTTGGCCCTCATTTAATGAGAACTCTTAGAGTTCACTTTACCAGTTTTACTTGTGTTTGTACTCGTTTAAGCCACACGGCAATAATAATATATTTGAATAATATTTTGTTGAAAATTATATCTATGTCCTAAATTTGTATAGATTAAAAAAAATGAATTGGAGTTATTTTCAAAACATACGTCTTATATATGTTCGATAAAACCTCAACACAACATTAAGCAAATAGAAAGAGCGTGTTCATTGTTTACATAATATGTGAGATACTTATTTTGTTTCTCCAATAACAGCTGTACGAGCGTCGCGTCGTTTGCCATAATAATAATAATTTGTAATTCATTTTTCGTTATACCAAAAAAAAAATTTTTTTTTATAAAAAACCTGTGTCCACGCTATATTGATTTTCTTATTATATATTTTTTTTATAGTACCGGATAACGGTGTGATCGAGTTGATATGTTTGCTTGTTCCTAATTGACCATTTGTCGCTTATGCCGAAACTGTGTGTTGTTTTTTTGTGTTTTACAGCTACAACCAAGTGTGCTTAACCCGTTTACTCGGTAGTTTTCAAACCTGGCCAATAACATGCTTATCGGTCGTTATCTCGTTTACCGTATCACCTAGACTCGTGACACTCCTGACGCGCACGGATATCGAGTGCCCGGCATACCAAACGTACAATGCCAATACAGCTGAGCTGCTATATTACTAATGGAAAGTTACCTAAGCAGTTGTAGCAGTCGTTGGTCTTGAAATAATATTTTAAGTAGCTCTATAGGCGCGTCGAATGATTATTATGCGGTGAAATGACAATAATTTGGGTCAGCACTTAAATTTATTTTTCCCTCCTTTCCCGTACAAAGCACTGTGTTGTTGTTTTCCGAGTGTATTTTATTCTAATCGACCAACGAAAAACAAAACATCATGAAAAGTCATTACCAACCACCGATAAAACCGAACGCCAGATGCTGATGAATAGGTACACAAACAAAATATATAGTCTAGTGAGAGATGATTGTTTTTTTTTAGACTGCGGGCATGGCCCATAGAATACTGCGTAGAATGTAGTTTATTAACATAGTTAGTTTTATTATTTTCATCGTTTTATAAGACATCTAAATACATTTTTTATTACACTTTCGTCTATGCGCCACCGGCATGGCACACGCACTTAGAAGTCGTACAAAGTAAGTAACTTCATATAAGTGGTAAAAAAATAGTGTGTATTAACTCTTGTGTGGCTTTATGCCGGGTGCCCGTTCAGGGTAATGGCCTCCCTACAGATTATAATAACGCGGTTTATAAAGCGTAGCTTGATCGTTTACCCTTATACCAAAAAAGCGTTTCTACGTAAATACATGAAATCAAAATATTTTCAAAATTATTTTTAACATTTAAAAAATAGTTTTTGTCCAGAGATTAAATATTTCAAAAATGTACTTGGAAAATGTTAAAATATTTTGATTATCATATTAATTTTTTTATGAACCGTATGAAAATATATATCTTGAATGAAAAAACTATCTTTTATCTTAATTATTCTATACCCGCCTTGTAGTTTACACAATTCCAAGACCGTGTTTTTTTTTTGTATACAGAACCAAATACCAATGAGGGGGAACTGTTGATCACATGACTTCCCCGATTAAGACCGTGTTTGTTTAATCCCATTTTCTAAAAAGTAATCGGATCAAAATACCAATTCACCGTTATAAAACGGTTTAGTTAATCGTGATCTTTGGAAGCATTAACATTGAGCTAATAAGCAGATTGCCCTATAGGAAACATATATCTAGTAGTTTCTAAGATTATTTAAACTATTTCAGTTTATTCCGTGCGATTAAATTAAACCTTTATAATGTAACATCTATGTTATAACTTATAAGAAATTAAAACTGTGGCCCGACTGGGTTGTTATGATTCCAATCCGTCCCAGATTGACACCTTATAAAATATTCAGTATTTTATAAACATCAAAGAAATATTTTTGTTAGTTTTATAACAACAAATATTTTTAGATAAAAGTTCTTAAAATAAAATTATATAATTAAACAACTTATATTAAATGTTTCCATAAAACATAGAAAAATCATGATTTACGTATTTAAATATACGGCACAATGTTTTTAAGTGAATAAGTAAAACTAAACTGTTACTTGGCTTGTCATTGACCTTATGACCGTGACATTAACAGTCTTCCAAGTAAAACGAAAAACAGTATTTTTTTAACATTATTAATATCGACTTCAGTTTAATGTTTATATAATCTATTTTTTTGTTTTTATACTATTAATTGTTTATGCTAATATTAACTAAATATAATCAACGATTTTTTATAGTGAAACTTTATTTTAAGGTAAATAGATTTATTATGGTTGGTATTTTTCACAAATTAACTGGATAACATTTGCTTAGCATATTTGGTTCTATGAATATTACATAATCTACTTGAATGACAACTTTTTTATTTAATAGAGGACTCGCATGATAAAAGTTTATATCTACCTGTTTTTAACCCGTGTTTATTTCAAAAATGGTATTAAATTCAATTTGTGTTGTCTTTATAAGTAATAATTTTACTGCTCATTGTTAAACCCCTCCCTACTACACCCTAATCTAATCATGCGTGTCTTTTGACACCTTTCTAAGTAAGTACATAAATGGTGATTAGCCTCTGGTAATAAAGGGTAAATACTATACAGAGAGCTATTAACTTTTGAAACTTAATGGGACCGTTTATATTTTAGTTATCTTTTTAAAGAAAGAATCATTTTTGTTAAAAATTGTGATTGGTCGATAACAGGCAGGCGCGGCGTAGTCATCAAGAGAGGACGCTAATTCTCAGTTTAGTAAATGTTTGTGATGTGTTGTTGTCTTTTTTTCTGTATGTCTATTATGAGTTTTTCCCTAGAAGCAATCCTTGTTAACTAGAATAATATAATTTATTTTCATATCACTCGCCGTGGCATACTTTTTTTTGTAAGACATCATTTTCATATCCCATTATTATGTGTTTTCATTTCCTTTAAGTGAAACTACTGTCTGTGGCGCCCCACATCGATTGAAAAAGACTAGTCGTATTTTGTAAACTGTAATTGTTTCAAATCGCCATCACAGAGTCTTGGTCCCCTCTGCATTATCCACTTCAGTTGAGACTCATTTAACAATTAACCACAATGACCATTGACGTGACCCCGTATAATTGACGTTCATGCAGAGGATACTTACACAATTAGAATTAAAAAGAATTTGGAAAAATACAAAACCATAATATATGAACTCCGGCTTTCCAGTTTATCGAATAATAATAATGACATCTGATCTTTGGACAGACAAATAACTATAGCCATAAGGGTAGGTAAAGTTACGGAAATAGGTATCCCTTTGTAATTGAGTTCGCGCCATATAATGTTTCATGACCCGTTAAAACCACAAAATCGTTCATAAATTTGAAACTTTTAGAACTAATAGTATTATAAGAAAACGAATGACACATTGATTGTGTATGTTTAAAAAAGTATTTTACGAAGTACTTCGTTTTTCTATAACGAAGACGTTTAATCGTTCAAATTAATGTCAATAATTACAGTGGTACAATTATAAGGAATAAGCCCTCCTCGATCGACCGAAACCATTCAAGATACTCTGACATCAAAGTTCACAGAATATTGAAACACATTGTCAGATTTATTTTTATTAGTATTGAATATGTTCTTTTGACGATGGAAACTTATAAAGTCAGATACCTAAATTACTGTGGAATTAAAAATTGCGAACACAACAGTTAGCGGTGCTTATAGAATATGTAAACTATGATAAGAGGTATCTTTCTTCAAAACTCACTATTAGTCACATTTCTTCAATGAAAAAAATCAAATGATTCAATTTCAAGTGTTATTTCCTATTCGCTTGTCATACACCCTTGGAACAGTTGTCAATGATTTGTGATAATATTTTACCAATTCGATTTCAGAGCTCTCGCGATTAATAAAATGGTGTCATTTCAATGGTATCAGTGAATAATCCGCGACTGTCAAGTGGCATGTGAATCATCGAAACCTCAACTACAAAAATAGCCGTTACGCCAAGTCTGGCGCCATGATTTGCACTCGAAATGAACCATTTTTTTTTTTTGAAATATGGGAAACAACCGACGGTCATTATGACACGTTTCTTGTCGGACACACTAATTATAAACACTGCGGTTGCCCTACAACGGCGGAACGGGTCCTCCTCAGTCGTTTTGCTTACAAAAATATTGATACCGCTGTGCGTTTACACGTACCTCTGGTTATTGACGGGCAACAATATAGTATTTGTTGTAAATTTATCCACTCTCGGGCTATGGGTAGTCGTTATCCGTTTTGTAATCCGCGGTCTCGGCCATTTTCGTGCACAATTTAAATGTTAAGTCCGCGGTGAGTATTACAAAAAAAAAAAAAAAACCACTTAAAAAAAAATACAATTTCGACGCGTATGATGTGTATGTTTAACGATGAATTTTAAGCACTTGGACGGTAATTAAATAACGTATTAGGCGACGACAGACAGGCGCGATTCACCGTTGCACAGCGTGTACTGAAGTCTCTGAAAAACGCATGAGGTTAGGTGGGACGCGGTCGGTGATACCTGCGAATCTCCAGTCGATAGGGCCCTCCTCCCTCTGCGGTCCGTCTCCCACCGACTATTTACCATAGTCTACTCATCTCGTCCACGTTGTTGCACTTATACCGAAAGAACAAAGTCCACAAAAACGAAATAAATAACTACTCATATCGTGTACAACGGAATTGATCATAATAATATTATATTGTAACTTGTGTCAATAATAATTGTTATTAATAATATGCGTGGTATTTATCGCACTCGAGTCTCTAAACGTCAAGTGGCATTTTAAGTGACGACATAATAATTATTTTATCTCCCGTAAAATATTAGGTAATAGCCGTATTAATAACGCATACCCGTAAATCGCGAATCGACCAACAAGTGTACATATATTATGCTTTGTCTATTACAACACTGTACAGAGCATAACAAGTACGCCGTGTATGGTATAAATATGTATAATGTATATATATAGTGTTATATTATTGCCTATCGAGCATGCACTTAACAAATTGTGTCTGAATATCATACATTTTTTTTTAATTTAACGGAAATTTGCACAGTATGTAGGTGTACTCATAACCTGATTGGGTTATTGTATTTTTTTAAATAGGTACCTATGCCTATTTATATGTATGAGTAAAAACAAGTGTTCGTACAAAAAATTATTTATTACCAAACATATTTATGAAAAAAGCCAGCACAGTGAGACGGAAAATTGTTGAGTTTAGCAGCAGTATTATAAAAAAATCTTTACTATAATATTACATATCATTATATATAATTATATCATTTTATAGTAATGATTGTAAACTGATTCTGTAACTATAGTAGTATAATTATTAAACATAAATAAATATAAGTATAAGCAATAAATATGTTTTTCAACATATATGAAATTCGTAATATTTTATATTTTTACAGGTAAACACTAGTTATAGATCGCTATTATTGCTACTAGATCTGAAATTAGTTGAATTACAAGACTCGATGTAAAAAAAAATTCGCTCCCGATAAGCGAAAAAACTTGGTCCACTCCCTCACGCCTGTAAAGGTGGTTAAAACTTATAAATTAGAGAACAGTAACTACTATCAATATTTTGATAGGCATTTTTAGGTCATATCGACTTAAGTAAAAACTGAAGTAGTAAGATAGACATGAATACAAATAAAAAATAGAGAATTAGTTGATCGAATACATAATTTTGTTTAGATATTTATTAGTTAATTTTTTTTAATTTCTTACGTCATACTGGCTATTACAAAAGACAATAGTAGAAGGTGACAAACAGAAAATATTAACAGTGTTTAACAAAATGTGTATAAATATATGTGATGCAAAAAAAAATTTGAATAAAGAATCATGAAATACATAACAATTGATTAGATTATTAATAAACCTCATACGACTGTAAAGGAAAGATGCATAACCATAAATAGTGGAATGTTGGAATGTTAACAAAGTAGCGAACGTTAATATATCATGTAATATTCAGACTTCTAGGTCAATATTATACTCAATTAACATTACTAATAGTGGTTAATGACGAGATTAATTAGAAATAAGTACAGAGAGTTGTAGACTAAAATATTTAAAAGCATTTTTTTTTTAATTAATAAAATATAATTTAGAGGATTTATTTTTATTGGAATGTTTTAACCACGCAATGTTAATGCGGTACAAATCAAATAAAAGTTTTTTTCTATTAATTCTATAAAAATAAATGTAATTAGAATAACCCCGCTTAGTGTGCTACGTATTAAAAAAGTATTTGAATTTAGAAATTATTGTTATTATAAAAAAAAAAAAATCCGTTATATAACTGGTTGCAACAAATTTAGTGTTTAGAAAATATACTATTATTACAGTTTTTAGGAATTTAATAAATAGGCCATTGATAAAACTTATTTATCGTTATAAGTAATTGATCTTATCGGCAAGTCAACTAGTTTAATTACTTTTTATTTCAAAGAACTACAGCAAAAATCTCAGCAAACGATTTATTCTGTTTAAAAAAAATTAAATAGCCTTTGTATCCATGCTTGCAGTTTAAGCGATATACTGTGTTTATCTTTGCAATATAATTATTTATTTTATATTCATTAATTTAATAGTACTTATTAATAAGACAACCCATTAAGCTTATAGATTTGGTTTTGTATATTTATTAGTTATATATTTTTAAATATTACCAGCCAACATATTTAGGTAAGTATTACTAGAAATCATTTTTTTTTGTTTAGGTAAGCTTAAAGGTCAATTTTTATTATTATTGTAATTAAAATTCACTTATAAACGTTTATATTTTTCTGATTAATCTAACTAATTTTCTAATTTACAAATAATAAAGAAGCATTTTAGCTTGCAAAAAAGATGTGATAAGCTTCTCATTATAAAAAAAAATTTAACTTATCAAATATATACACCAGAATGTGCCTTCTATGAAACTCATTTTTTTATTAATCTTTGCATTTCTAACTCGGAGAAAAATAACTTACTTGTTATATAACTAGTAAAACATAAAAATCAATAACTCTCTTTTATATTTTTTAAAATAGCTCCTAAAACATTGAAACTCAAATATTGTCGTTCTTTTGCACCTTAATAAATAATATTTTCCTTTCTTCTTAACTATGAATTTATTATAAAATTAGTAACCTTCAAAATGTTTAAAAAAATTTTGAAAATTTCATGTTTACCCGTGCTACATTATTTATACCACAAAAAATAATTTTAGTAAAAAAATTTATTATTTTAACATTATAATAAGTTAGTAGTTCAAAGTAATGCATCTCATAAGAAAAGTTTTACAAGAAAAACATTTATTTTATTTATATGAAACTACTAGATTGAATAAAATTATTAACTTATTCTCCTATTTGGCTCAACCTATGACAAATTTACTTTATTTTATTACATTTTATCTTTTACATGTTTATACAATTATTTTAAGCGTTTCAATGTAATAATCCAATAATAAAATAACAGTTTTTAAATGAACACCTACAATGTAAGCTTGTTACAACACTACATACACTATATTAAGTTGCCTACACACAACTCCTGGATGGGATAAAAATATATTATTTGTATAAGCACTTAAATACAAATTATTCTTTTAGATAAACTTCAATGTACATTTATAAGCAAATTGGATTTTTGGTACGTTATTTCTTACGATATATTCATTTTAAGATCAAGAGTTAAAAATATTATAGTGGTCAATTTAGATAATTTTACAAGAGTATAATATATGGAATTCTGAGATGAAAAGTATGGAAGTCTGAGTTACCCAAATCCATAATGAAATTTCTTTTAAAGATGAAAGAGTATTGGGAAAAACCAACAACAAATATTTAGTAATATTATTTGACAGAAGAAGCCTCAATTTTATATTGAAAAACATTTACTACACGCATCATATTTATGCAATGTATAAATGGTTCGACATGTTGTCCTTCATTCAAACTAACAAGTTTATACCTACTTACCGTTTTGGGTTGTTTAAAACTTGAATAGTGACTTAAATAACAAAACTATAATATTATATGCACTACGTAAATAATCTTGAATTTTTGATTGTTTTTAATTTGTATGGTTTTAATTTTTTAGTTTTATTATTCTATTATAACAATTATACTTTTGTTTTCGACTCATCGTTATCTTGGAACAAACGTGTTTAAATTCATTACATAATTTTCAAATATTAAACTTTGTATAAAAGTTTTATGCAACTATTTGCATTGAAAACATGTATTGACATCATGTATTTCCATTTCACCGATAAAACAACATTTATTTAAGACTAGTGGATTGCACGCAGTCTGTTTTTTGACGTTGTAGACCAAAAAGCCAGACAAAACGTCGACTACATAAGATGGCCTGATTTCAATTCTGTAAAGATATACGAGTTCTTTGACAACTTTAATAGGTTATACATAAAACAGAATTTGAGTTTTTGCTTTTTTTATTTAATAAAATTGTATTTTAATATTGAAAAAACCGCAAATTTAATTTATTTAATTACAAGAAACTGAATATTTTAAATGAAAACCAGTTTTCTATAAAACATAAAAAAATAACGAAAAAACTCGAATCTCTTTACAGAATTGAAATCAGACCACCCTATATGTAGTCGAAATTTTGTCTGGCTTTTTGGTCTAAAACGTAAAAAAAAACAGACTGCGTGCAATCCCCTAGTCTAAAATAAATCAAAATGGCTTACACTTATCGAACAAATTATTTAAATTAAAAATAATACCTTTAAGTTTATACAAATTAACTAGTAAATTAATTGACATGGTCGAAATTTATTAAATCGTCTGTTACCTTAAATATTGCCTATACAAAACTCCTTAAAAACAGATCGCATGCAATCCCCCTAAGCATATAACTTCGAATTTAGTTGGGCACACTTTTATTCTACTGTAACCAGTATTAGTTTAATGTTATGATTTATTTTATTTGCCTTGCTATTAAATATTAGACAAACTAAACAATTTCCACGGTGACTTGTAACATTTTTTTTAAAAACAATATTGAATATCATTATACACAACATTAAATTTCATAATAATTCATAATTCATTTTTTGATGCTATTAAGTAACAAATAAAATGGAAAGTGATGAAACAGAATTTAAAAAAAACGAAGAGACTTCAATACCAAAGTTAGTTTTGAAACCAGTGAAAAAACACTCAGGTCGGAGGGCAGATACAATTGCGGTAAACGCTCAGAGCTATGAGTTTTACTTGGAAAAAAAAAATGTTACTCCTCTGCCGCTCGACAGCACTACATTTGTTCGTATGGAAGAGAAAGATATAGAATTGTCGAAAAAAGAGGATTCAAATTTCATGAAAGAGACTGCCGAAACGCATACAGAAGGAGATGCTATTAATTACTTCTTACACGGTTCAACCGAAACGGCTAATAGCCTGTTACGTGACGTTTTTACCAAATATCAGTACAACCAGAATGCTGAGACGACGCAATATAAAGCTGGTCCCAATATGATCAACCAACACGAGGTCATTGAAAAAGGATACGAGATCGAATTGACCGAAAGCGACACGTTTTTTCTGTTAGAATTTCGTGGTGGCATTGCTGTGGAAGGGTAGGTCAACTAGCCACATAAAAAACATTAACCTTTTCAGTCATAGTGCCCCGATTATTTTCGTCCGAATAATACGTCTCCAGAACTCCTCATTGTATCTCGTCGGAATCCGTTTACTATTACTTTTTTTTTTTACAACTGTCTGTTGTGTTCTAGATGTAATTTTAGAATAGTATATTAAATAAAATTCTACAATTACAGCGATGGAGATTATGAAAGAGTCTTGGAAGAGAACGCTCGTCACCGGAAAATCGCTGCACGACCGAAGAATTTGGTGGAGAGCAGCACCCAAACTGTAAACACCCTTATGGAACGCGACGATAGAGTATGTCAAACCCAAAATTCGTCTTCGACTGCAGCCGGCACCCAAGTGTCTGTTTATAATTTAATGTACGAGTACGACATCAAAGAAGAGTCGGATTTGCCAGAAGAAAAACATACGTCCTTGGTACCTGTGGATTCTGATGACAATATGCTTCACAAACAAGAACAACCGTTTATAGATAAACAAGCGTTGGCAGTAAACGCAATGATAATGGAACGAGTATTAGCCAGCAACTCGATGGCCCATCAACAGCTTATGCTAAACGAGGATTTGCCATACAGGACGTTGGAAAGAGGAAAACAGTGTGACAACTATGAATGTGTATTTGTTTATCGATGCGCTCTGGGGAATGAAATCAATAAAAATCTGACGGCTAGATGCTTGGACTGGAACATGGCGACCAAACACCTTCTGGCCGTCGGTTATGGTAAATTTTTTTACGATTACAATGAGACACCGGGAGCAGTGGCCGTGTGGAGTATTAAGAATCCACAGAACCCAGAAAGGTAATAAGCGAACAACAAGTCCACTTGTAAAACCTAACCCGCATATGTCTTGTATAGATTTTACGAATTCAATAAATCAGTTACGTGTTTGAAGTTTTTCGTGGAAAAACCAAACTTCTTAGCAATAGGATTCTATTGCGGCAACGTCCTGATCATCGACATATCCAGTACAAGTTTGAATGTCATTTTTGATAAGTCCGTTCAGTTTTCAGGAATAGATCCAATTCTTGATCTTTATTGGACGTTCCAAGTTAACATTAAACTACCTGACGTTGTTCCATCTGAAAGTCTAGTAAATTCAAAAATTCATTTTGTGATTTACCCGTACTACATACAACTGCTAACATTCGTCAGGTAACTTGCGATGGTAACGGTAGAGTAGTCAGTTATTCATACATACACAATTTATTCGAAGAAAAAGAACTTGTTCAACTTGATGAAATCAGCATGTCTAATAACACAAAGATAGAACAGACAAACTTGGACAAAAAGTTCAAACTGGAGAGGTTTCAGAGTGCCACTCGGTTTATGGAGTTTGACCAAAGTGTGTATTTTGTGGGCACTGGATGTGGTACATTGAATATTTGTTCGTACCACAGCTCACGAAATAAATATATTAGGAAAGTCAAGGCTCACTTTGGATCCATTAACTCTTTGGAATGTTCTCCGTTCAGTAAACCCGTATTTTTAACTTCAGCAAGAGATCGCTGCATTAACATTTGGGTGGGTTTTAAGCTCAAAGAACCGGTGTTAATCTTAAACTGCGAACAACATGTCGAGAAAGCCATTTGGAGCCCAACTCGATCAACCATTATTGCATCGATCGCGGGTAAGACACTAGGACTCGTATGTTTGTTAAAATTACAAATTGAAGTTAATCATGTTTACTGGTAGTAAGGTCCAAAATACTAATGGCATGCTCGAGAGGAAACTATAATAATCTAGACTTTTGTGTAAGCCCTATTTCTTTGAAGAAAAAAAACAATAGTGTTCTCCAAGATAATAGATTCGTATAACATAAACTAGAATCTAGATGCCCTAACCGGATACGTTATAAACTGTAGAGAGTCTTTTTTTTATTATTAACCCATACTTTTTTTCTCATTAATTTAATCTAAACTTTATTTTCCAATCTACTACCATTGTTTCTTTCGCTATGTACCGTTTATGGAGAAGGGCTACATCAACTTTACAAATATTTACCTTAAAGACAACTCTTTTGCGCACTTAACTATGAACAATTGAAACCCTATTTGCAGGAATATATAGTTTTTTGCGCACATTGTCAGGTAGTCGGTAGGCCTAACACTAACATATTTATTTAAATAATTGATTATGTTAAAACATTAAAATATTATTCATATAAAATTGTACAACATTTTCATTTACCCTTTAAAAGGCTTAGGACTTTTTAGTCTCATATAATTATAATGTCATGGACAAGCGGGTTTAATAAATAAAGGTAGAGAGATTTTTTTTTTTAAAGCGGTTTCAGTTTAAATTTACAAAATTATATCTAAATGCATTGGTGAATATGAGGATGAGGAGTATAAAATTGTTCATTAAATTACATATAATATGGACATTTTCTGGTCGGTTTGTTATCCAATGACTATCATCAGCTTTACTGGCCTAAAATCAGAGTCAGTAGTAGTAGAATTTTGTTTAACACATAGTCATCAAAATTCATGCATACTGATTAATATTATTAAGTGTGGGTGAACGAATCGATTTTTATAAAGAAAATGTCTAAACCGGGAAAAATATATAAGATAACATAATGCACAAACGAGTTTTCACCGATAGAAGATTTGTAAATTATAATTAAATCGGTTATAATACTAAATTTATGCCGGAAATGTTAAAGAAGTTGTCCTTTATGACATAACCGTTTATATTTAGACATTGTAATTTATATTAGATATTATTTAACGGTAAGTAATAAGACAAACAACATTTGGTTTTCAGAAAACACGATACAAATTTGGGATTTAGCATTATCCTTTTTGGATCCAGTAGTAGTTCACGATATGGAGCCTAAGCAAAAACCTACCGATATAAAATTTACTCCAAATGGTTTCAATATATGCGTATCAGACGTGTTCGGTTATGTAAATTTCTTCACGTTGGCAGGTGTACCAGTAAAAATGATCAATCCAGAACGCAGTCTCATGATAAATATAGCAAAAAGCGTAGAAGATAAAAAATATTTGGTTGCGGATCTTTGTAAAGAACAGCCGGAATATATTGAAATTTTTAAAGAGTTACAGTATAGGTACCAAAAGGAAAACATAGTATTCTAAATAATTACTGTGCATTTATAAAATGACGAGTATTTTCTTCAATTAACTATTTTTTAAGTTTGTTAATCCTAATAAATTCTAGTTTGTGGAAATAAAATATGAATTTCATTACGTATAATAAATGATTATAGGAAATATGAACGACAATTATGATTTTTATTTGTTTACTCAAGCTTTATTTAATTAGACAAATAACAAAATCAAATGTTTTTTGGGAAAGTAAATATATTATTATATTTATATCATACATTTTAACCTTATTTTTGACTTTCTTGTTAATATTTACACTGTAAACAAATTGTAAAAACTATTGAAATTCCGTTTATTTTATAAATAAACTTAACTTAACGTAACTTTTATAAATCAATTTGGTTTGTTTTATTTCTAAGATTAGTTGTTTAAGACCAAAAATGAAAATTAGGTGATACTGACATTTGGTCAACATTATTCATATGTGAGTTATGAGCCATAAAATGATTAAAAAACATTAGTCAGATAGTAGATATTAAATATTACATACATTTTAACAGCTTTTTAAAGCAATTATATTTGAAAATGACGTTTTTGTTTTAGCGTTCCAAGAAAATTTAACTTAAGATCTATTCCATAACATTTACCAATAAACACTAAAATACAAGCAATTTATCAAAAACTAGTTAATTATGTTTTAATTTTTTTTTTATTAATAAAATAGATAATACTTTTATAATAAATTTAAGTGACAATATTACATTTTATTTTACTTATTATATTGGTTTGGAAAAAAGGATATATATTGTTTTAAGTAAGTTCTGAATTGCCTCCCCCTTTTATAAACATATATTACCATTTAATCGTAACTCGTTTTGCATTAGTACAGCGACAAAGGGAAATGCATATTAAGTATATGTAACTTTAGTATTCATCGTATTCAAATAAACGCTACACGTTTTGCATAAAATTTTGTATTTTGGTTTTTAGTAGCAAATAATTTGTCAGGTGAAAATATTTTTTGCACTAATTTAATATCACGTACAAGGGCTACATGTTATACATTATTTTTTCGGTCTGTATACGATGAAAATCAAAAAATAGTATGTAGTTATGTTACAAACAACTGTATGCGCGGATGTGTATATAAGAAAGGATGGTTATTTCTAAACCAGTTTCATTGCTGCTAACACATCAGACAGCAGAGTTTTTAACAGAACACAGTGTAATAGAACTTCTTCGAGTGCGTGTGTGTCATTGTGTAAGCAAAAAAAAATAATAAAAAGACATCACATCATGGCATCATTGCAGGAAGTAAGAATTTCTCACAATTTTATTACTTTTAAAAATACCACTAATATCTAACAGATGGATTCTATAGACAGTTTAAAATGTTTTAAAATAAATTCAAACGTGTTCTACTTAGGTACGTAGTCAACTTTAAAAAATATAATTATATACAGCAAATGTTTTATTTCAAATTACAACAAATCTTTACGAATTGTTAGTATACATTTTATTAATTATTATTAGTATAAATATAATCATTGAAATATAAACAATACAAGAACCTTCTCTTTTACCCACGCTTTTTGATAGCAGATATTGTGCGAAGGTTTTAATATATTTGTATTATACAAACTAATAACATATTATGTGTATCTTTATTTGAGCTAATATAACTAAAGCAGATTTTCTTATTTGTTTAATTAAAAAATGGATTATTTTCCAATTTACTAAAGACAATTGATTTTATTATTAAATACATTTTTACATCTATATTTTGTAGTTAAAAAATGCTCTTAACTTTTGTGACATTCTCAAATAATATGTATTATACACTTTTAATTTTTAAAATCCGTATAACATAAAAAAATGTATCATGTTTACCGACAAAAAAAAAAGTCTCATACAAATCGTTGTAAGATGAATACTAACTTAGATATGCATTGAAGCTAAGCACTTTTTATTACTCTAATTTATTTGTTAATTTTTGAAGTAGTAATAAAGTCAGTGAAAGCATAAAACTACTTCCGGAACGCCTTACACGTTTCTGAAAAATACTGTACATCAATATATCGCTTAGTCTATAGTAAAATAAAAGCCGATAAGAGTAATTATTAGTTTGTAATTAATATAAATGGCCTCGGTATTAAGAATTATAGCTATAGCAAGTTCATATCTCACTAAGGGGTAGGTATTTTACACAGTTATTATTTTTTAGTATTTTATTACCTTGCAGTATTTGATTGCAATGATGAAGCAAAATAGTAATTCACAGTAACGCGGATATTACCAAGCTATGGCTTAATGGTTGTTGTGGTGAAATAATTAACTAATGTATTTGTTTAGGTTTGGTAGTTAAGAGTAATTTGAATTATTTATTATTCTTATAATGACAGAATACATTTGACCTGTCGACATTATAATCGCATTGTTACACATTATGTTTTTTCCCGCTGACATAATATGATTCATAACACATAACCTATTAGCTGTCTTAGAGGTCTTATGTAAAGCAAGGTAATCCCCACCTTACGTTTTTATTGATCCTTGTAGTTTATGTTAGCTTCACAGAGTAATAATTATAATCTAATTAAATTTGGAAGTTCCAGAGTTAGAATCGTTTGTTTTCGTTTTAAAAATTGTTTGTGAAAAACATTATCATCATACTAATTTAGCTTTCCCTACACCTACTCAGTCATCAGAGTTGAATAAACTTACTTGATGAAAAAGATTAAACAGCACGTTTTTCAGCGGCAGAGCTGTGTACAATTCACGAAGGTAGCCGCCAGTAACCGAAAACAAAAATATCAACAATTATGTGAGATTATTTAACAAAATGTCGACCTTACTATATTATAACATTTTACACGTGTTTTTCGCTTAAAAAATTATTTACACGAAGTTTGTCTGCGTTAGAGGTCAATAATGTATATGTATGTATGTACATGTAGGTATAATATGTGTGTACTTGAGTATTGTATGGACGAATAACTCTGGATTTGTTCTTATTTATTATTCAGTTGCGGCCGTATATAATATAAAAAAAACCAAAAATTAAAACTCACGACAACAATCCATTTACGTGTGTTTAATTTAAATTATTTTTTCAGCGTTTTGAAGCTGCCGCTTTAGAAGTCAGATCGCTCACCAAGAGGCCTACTAACGAGGAACTGTTAGAGTTGTACGCACTTTATAAACAAGGAACGAAGGGAGATAATACTACGAGTCAGTCTAAACTACATTAAAATTAATTCAAATATATTATATTCAATTATTATTATAGGATCTAGAGGGTTAATTTGCATCAATTGGGGCAAATTTAAGAACGATTTTCTCAACGAAATAGTTGTTAAACTGAATGCTTTTAATTATAACATTTTAACGTATTGAATGGTTAAGTAAAATCAAATCATTACGTTTGACCAATTCTCTTACAACTTTGTACAACACTTGACCTTAGCAATATAAACTAATTACAGCTAATGCTCAATTTAAATAGCTTAAGTTATGGAGTTGTCATAATGTGTATGTAAATTAATTAAAACAATGTTTGATCCGTAGACTTACTCAGACCCAGTAAATAAAATGTTATAGTGGGCTCAGACATAAAAAAAAATACCAATAAACACATCATCGTAAAACTCCAAATCGAAGCTAAAACGTTTTTTTAATTATTGTTACCACAAAATATTATATTTATAAAAAAAAATATCATTGTTTAAATATATAATACATAGAATTTAATTTATAAAAAATAATTACAATTAGTAGCATTACATAGTTTTAATATTTGTTTAGCTGCGATTATTATATAATTTAATTATATATTCAATGACTTATTCAGCCTTTTCATTCATATTGTTGGGTTATAAACAACTTTTTTGTTCTATTCATCGTATTTGAATCATTTGTAGTGTTATATTTACCGTTTAGAAACAATAAAAGTTTAAACAACTCAAAATAAGTATTTAAATCTAGAATCTATAGTATTTGCATAATAAAGCTTTATGATCGTAACATGTTATTTAATGCGTACATGGACATAGATGGGAAGACATGTGTTTCGACATTTTAACATCATATGCGTAACAAAGCATGAATAAATGATCCAAATAGGTTGAATTATTGTAGAGTCCATTTACATTAATATTATAATTTTTCAAAAAAACCTGTAACGGAGGTTACGTTTGCTAATCACTCTCTCCGGCGACGGACTAATTGACCAGTCCCGGTATATAAATAGTTTAAATAGCTAAGAAATCTCCCATTAAGAATTGAGCTTTAATGGTCTGTAAGCTAAAATATACAAATTTCAAACAATATGAAATACTGATCAAAACCTCTTATTACAGGTAAACCCGGCTTATTTGACCTTAAAGCCAAAAAGAAATGGGAATACTGGAATGATGTTAAAGGAACCTCTACAGAAGACGCTCAAGAAAAATATGTAGCAAAAGTCAATGAATATATTAGCAAATACAAAGATTGAATAGAGTTTGATTTAAAAGAACAGCAAATAAAATAACGTTTATTGATGCATATACATATATATATATATATATATATATATATATATATATATATATATATATATATTGATAAGGTGATTAAGAAATAAAACAATTAATGGATTTAACAATTGCGTGGATGTTTTTATTTATTTTATGTATGTAAAAATAAATTCTTTGAGGATATTGTGTCGAGAGGGGTGGAAGTAATGCGACTAATATACAAATAATCGTAAAATACAATATCCAATTTAGTAGTACTACTTAAAATTGAGTATATTTAGTATTTACTAATCAAATAATAATACTAACTTAATAGAAAAATAATTGTTATTAAAATAAGTATTTGTCTTGATGTGTATTGTACAATAGTCAATATTACATATTATATTATATAGTTAAGTAGAACAATGTTTGCAAATATAATTCATGTATACTTCCATTTACTTATTTAAACGAGAGTGATTTACTTATGACATTGCTATTATACTTTAAATGTTCCTAACATGTTTAAATATACTTGTTACTATGGGAAGATGTGCATGCTTAACAATTAAAATCACTCAAATATTCTTTAAATAGCTTTTTTATCTAACGAGTAACAAGTAAACATTTTAGCTATTTGTTTTTAAAAATTGATTAGGTCTATTTATGACTAACGACAGCCTCAAAACTCATTTTTTTCTCAAGTTTAAAATAAGGATCTTAAATTAAAACTAAAACACTAGGACATTTTATAATTAAAATCATCAAATAGCTAGTATGAACTTAACATAACTTGTGAAAAATTACTACAATATAAAATTAGTATAGTGGGATCAAAACCATGATTAATTTGAATACAATGAGATCTAAGTCTTGGTGCGAATTTTGGAAAAATAGAGTAAAAGTATCGCTAGCAAAGTAAAATGAGTTAGCTGTCTAGTGTCTGCATATTCACATCAGAGCGTTTCTTGAAATTGGTTTTATTGCTATTACTAAATCACCTATGTGCTGACTAGCATAAATACATAACATTATGAACTAGCACTATGTAAACTAACATAGTATTTGGACAACATTTTATGGTCTAAGTGGTCATTGGTTTCGCGGAAGTAATAATATGAATCCACGCTTATTAACATTATGATGCATCTTGAATATTAATACATTTGTAAGCCGGTGGCTCTCAAGCAAATATACCCGAAGCTTAGACACAAATCTGTGTAGAGTAAGTACTAAGTAGTCAATATAGTGATGCAAAAGCGGCTAGTGCATAAAAGGTTATTAGGTGACCAAAAAAAAAAATACATGAAGATAGCGGTTTAAGAAATAAAAATTCTAACAAGTATTATTGTGAAAAAAATTTGTTCTCAATTTTAAAAACCGCAAATTTTCATTGTTGTAGGTTTTACACTACAATTATTATTCGTCCGAAATTTTTTACTCTCAGGATTTTGTGAAGTATATAGTATATCAACGGTTAAGTTGCGATCATAAAATATATTACATGTATTATAATACACGTTCTGCAGTAAGACTATTCCTGATGACGTGTACCGTCTCCGACTGGTTTTACATTCCAACGTCCGATGGTTCCCAACCTACTAAGATCTTAGTGAATAATTTTAAATAATAAGAACGCTCTCTTCTCGGACTTCTCGAACCTTCTATAAAACATAATATTAAAATTGGCATGAATTCTGTGATTTTTAATCGATATAAGACAACGATAAATAAAAACCAGTATTTTCGTACAAAAATAAAACTTAATTTTAATACGAAAACAATTTTAAAAAGAAATAATACAATAACAAAAATGTATAATATTAGATATTTTTTATTAGTTTAGTTTCGTAAGTGTTTGTTAATAGTACCTACTATTTCCATCGACCTATATTAGTATAATATAATTTTTAAAGGGTGTCCCTATGTGTATGATCAATGATCACCCACAATAGGACGTTTAACATATTATAAGGCGTTTTTCGGTCCTTGCAATGTTCTAGTAAATTCAGATTTGAATCTGACGTACTGTATTTGTTTGACATAAATCTACAATAACTCGACTAGATTTAAAATCCGGTTATACAATCATCTTGTTAATTACTACGTTTATGGTCGCCTCCACCGGTTAGTCAGTAACATTTAAGCGAAGTTGATATTTTTTGAATTTCACAATATTATTTAGTCACTATTTTACCAATCGCTTACAACAGGTAGGTATATATTAAGCTAAATTAAACGCCGGACACGATAAAGAGATTATTATAAAGTTTATGTATTCATTATAACTGGAAAAACGAAAACATGGATATTATTGTTGTATAATTTCCTTAATAATATTGGAGAAATATGATGAGTTGATACCATGGAAATTTAAAAAATCTTTATTTTATCATTTCTGCAATACCGTTTTTTTCGCATCGGTTGTAATTTTATACCTGTCATGTTGTATCTATTTTTACTGTTATCGATTCGACAAATCTATAATATTCTCCAATTAGGTCAACTGACCGTATGTTTTCCGAGTTCAAGTCAATTATCATGTAGTATAGTATTGTACATAGATTTCTATTCCCTTTACTGGAGATCTAAATCATATCCGTGTATTGTACGTTTCCGATGACATGCGCTGACTGGCCATGAAATCGTGAAACAGTGGATCAACTTTTCGAATAACACGGATACCTGCGGTCAGATGCCTATGGATGCATTCCTATTATCTACTGGGGTATAAAAGATGAAAAAACTGGTAAATTATAACAATGTTTTTAGTTTTACTGTACCTGTATTACTATAAAAAATTATTAATTAGAGGTCATCTAATTTTCATTGTATAAAATATTATGATAAAATGTTGTTTTTCCCATCATATAGGTGACTTTCAGCAGTGACCTCATTTAAAATTTTAATTTTTATAGTTGCATAAAATATATATATTTTTTAGAAATATTGCATTGTTAATTTTTTAATAAAATAATTATGATATAAAATGTACATTGTAAATTGTACAAAAAATGGCAGTTATTAAAAAAATGACGATATTTTATTTTTTATAAATCAATGAGGTTTATAAAGCCATATTATGTGATTTATAGTCATGAGACATACTATTTGAAAATATCGTAAAACAAAATTGTTATGAGATTTACAACTAATACTTTATACTAATACCCAACTATTTACTATTTCATTATTTAATAATTTCAGGTAGGCTAACAATTTGTTTATTATAACTAGTATAATATTTTAATAATAGTATTACTACTAAGTGCAATGCAATTTTTAATCAATTAATTATGCTAACGTACAATGACTTTTTGAAATTAAACTTTGACCTTCATCTTATAATATTATGTTCTTAATGCTTTCAACTTACTGTTGACGTAAGTATACAATCTGTAACTGGTATTTATATATATATATATATATATATATATATATACCATATTATAATCATTACCTTTAAATTTTAATTATAAGTATTATAAATTTCACGTCAATCTGTTTCTTTTGTCATCGTATATAAGCACCACTCCCTCACTCTTAATTGTACCTATCTTATGTAAGTTAATAATTCAATAAATTAGTTAATAATTAATAAGTAATTAATAAGTTAATAAATTAATGGATTATTATTATTTTCTTAAAATTGTAAAAAAACCTCTAACATTTCGGGGAAAACATATTTAACACCCACCCAACCATAACATTTTCATCTTAACATATAATGTATTATTAATATGAGTACAGATTAGCCACCCACCCATTAAATCAATGGGGTATTTACCCCACCAGACATACTCGACATACTCGTGTTCGGTGCCACTGTTTATAACACTAAACCTAGTCTATCCTAACCTTTTTTGACCTTCATACAAGGTCAACCGCTAAAGTAACCTTTATAGAATACGATAACTATTATACTATTACTATTTAACTATTATATTCAATTTTTTGAAAACATTTTATCAAGGGTACAGATACAATTCTGAGCAAAATTCACGTGTACCTAACATATACCTAATAAAATATGTTTTTTTTCATTTTACTCGTAAAATTTCTTTTGAAAAATTGTTTTTTACTAAGTTATTCTTTCCAGAACGTTTTGGGACAAATTAAATATATTTGTTGCGGATTTAAATAAAATATAAATTAAAGAAGTGGGTGGATCTACCTACTTAAAAAAAAGTTACTGACCCTGTGTTAGGTAAACTATGACTAATTCAAACAAAACGGTAAAAAATAACAAATGACCCAAGTGTATGGATTTGTGTACCAACTAATAAGAAAAATGGCAGTTTACTTAAGTAAACGTATTTTACTTGCAGAAATACTGTTGTGATGTCGCATTAAATAGCCATCATATCAATAGTAAAAAAAAAAGATATAAGCTCCTTTAGGTTCGACCAATGAAGTATAACCGAAATATTGTTTGCTTTTAGCCCCGGTACTAAAAAAGTATTGATTTACAATATATATTATTCATATTATTATGTTGGGTTTGTTTATTTTGTTATACCTACCTATTGTCAATTGACACAATGTATTGTGTAGCTAAGTTGCATTGGTGTGTACTCAGCCTAGTACTTCGTGTGTGACACAAGCCTACTACCAATGTCGGGCTACCCGCTACAATAATAATAATAGTAATAATAATAATATTCTCTACCCCACTTTTTATGTCCTCTACTATATTAAATTACTACATAAACGTGACTATAGTATAAACCATTATCAACATACATTTCCCGGCAGTCTGCAGTAGACACACACAATATACAAGAACCGTTATCAGAATACTTCATTTATCATTAGTAGCGTTTCGTCCGCCGACATTTGAACTCTTCGTTTTCCACGTACACATTCTGCTTACCTGTTCTTAAAAGTCAGTACGAAGAAAACAACATAACCATGGTAAGTAGTGCGTTTATTGTTAAGTATTTAATTAACAAGAAAAAAATAGTAAAGTTACAAGTTTGTATGCGCCTTAGAAATCCATTTAGCGTCAGTTTACTTTTTTTTTAATTACTGGGTTTTGCCCTACTATTTATTGTTCATGTTTGTTGATAGTATTGATCAATTAGTATTTTTATCTTTTAATTTTAAGTTATAAATAATTATTATTTTCGTACTCTGTTTCTAAACACCTAACTAAATCAATAAGACGGTAATTCCAATTTGAGATCAATACTGGGAGTACAAATTTTCAATTCACAATATTGTAATGGACTTAGAAAAATATAATGTCCAATGTTGAATATGTTTGAAAATTAGCCCTTAAAAATATATATAGGATTTTACTATTTTATTGCGACCGATAACAGCATTCAAATAGGCGCTAGCTCTAATAAAGAACGCTTTGTTGTAATATTATGGTTTTCCAGTAAAACAATATAATATTATGATACATAAACTGTCATTCAATAGAATTGTTTTTATAATTTAATTTGTAGTCTTTCGAAGAATCAGTGGAAAAAGTGAAAGACTTAAAACAAACACCGAGCGATCAAGATTTATTAGAACTATACGCCTACTTCAAGCAAGCATCAGTTGGCGATTGCACTACAGGTTAGTTACATTGGGTTAAGTAAATTGAGATGTATAAGTAATTTAGAAATAACAAGTATTGTATGTTTTTTGTTTAGCCAAGCCTGGCTTTTTGGATTTTAAAGGAAAAGCCAAATGGGAGGCATGGAATTCCAAGAAAGGCGTTGGTAACGAAGAAGCTAAGGCCAAATATGTTGAATTAGTTAACAAGTTGATCGAACAACATGGTCTCAAGGGCTGAACCAAGCGCAACTTACTGACGTTAATGAACAATACAAACATCTACTTTAAGTTTAAAGTTTATACAGAACATGTATACGCTAATGTTACTATAATTTAATTGGCTGTTTCTTATAGTAAACCAGATCAATTTCTTCTACTTAAATATCATATAAAACTATTTATTTATTAAGTTTATAATTGTATTCTTTCACATCACATTAGTGATATATCTATGACCGATATCTTGTTATAACCATTTTATTACTTGCAATGGAACCCATACTGGTAATTTATCAATGCAACAAAATTATTGGTTGTTCCTGAGGGAGAAAATTTAATAATAATTTAATATTGTTGGAATTTGTAGTTAAGTTTTAACTTTTACCTGAAAATTTTATTTGTATTTCAATAAAACCGAGAAATTATTTTCTGACTACAGCAAAATTTTTTTAATGATAGTTTCTAGTAAGATTATGCATGTATATTATACTTCTAAATACTTACTTCCATATGTGACACTGTAACAGAAGTTAAAATCTGCTTTATGTAGTTATTCTTCCTTATAAGGTTTCGCTAAAGTATTTTTTACACATTTAGTTAACTCTGCAAACTAACTGTACGGCTCTATGAAAATCAAATGACTATAAATGGGGTTAAAATATTTTGTTTATGCGGTGTCTCAAAAAAAAATTCGTGCAGTTCACCTAATGTTTACATCCAACTTAATCTGGTTCTAGAATTTATTCTTATTATTATAATTTCTAAACATATTTTTATGATAATGTTTTTTTTTAAATCAAGCAAATACTAGTTAAAGTTTATTAGGAAAATGTGGCAAGGTCGATAATGAACAAATTAGTCTTGCATTTTAATTAGAACACATTTAAAATAATTACTAATAATAATATGATACATGATTAACTGATTTATTATGTATAGGTTTTTAAAAGTTCATAGACCAGTAAATACGTATATAGTTATTATATGTTTTAAGTGCAGAATGATATTATAAAAAACTTACTAGTATATAACCAAATTCAATTTATAATACATTATGAGTTATTAGTATTTACAGTGGTAAATGGTGAGAAAAACACATTTAAGTAGCGAACGAAAATATAGACAACTTAACTCCTTACTTATGTCTTTAAACAAAATTAATTTTAGTAAAGTGGATACGTCATGTAAAAAACATTTAAAAAAAAATTGTTTTACAATATTTTTAACATTATTGTTAAATGCTGTTTATGATCATTAAGTATAAAAACATTTATTTTACCCTTTTTATATTACTGAAACATTTATTATTATTAGTTATTGTCATCGCTAACAAGAAATATAACTAACCTGTAGAATACTAGGAAATTCTGTATTTGTCACATAAATATAATTTATATCATTTAAATTTGATATTTTTTTCATCAATAATTTAATAACATTTTAAATAACTTGCGAAGTGTGCAATGAAATTTTATGTATGTTCATGAACTTAGATATAAATTAATTTAGTTTAATTATAGCCAATATATAGGTACCTGAATAACTAAAATATTTATAAGTAGATAAAATTTAGTTTTTGTGCATAACTATATGCAGTTTTATCATTACTATTTGACAACTTTACAATAAGGATAGTTATTTTAAATTTGTAACTATTATACCTTATATTGGCATTATATCTCTTAAGCTACAAATCTTTTTAACATAATTTTTCATGACCATCCTAAAAAGTGCAGTTATATTTAATATTGGTTCTGTTCAAATTAAGAGCTAACTTTGATTATTTATCATACAAAATAATTCACAATATATAGAAATGCTTATAAATAAAATGATGAAAACCAAAAGACTACAATATGATATTTAAAAATAAAAGTTTTTGATTACCTACTCATTATTTTGTCAATAAAAACTTTTGCTAGTTATACTTGCGTATTAAATGTGCTAATTTTACAATTTTTGAAACAAACATTAAATAAAACTAATGAACAATAAAAATACAATTTTTATTTTTCTCTTCTGTAAAATTTTAGAATAATACTTTTATTTTTTTGATGATGCCACTTCAAATATCTCTTTAATGTCTGTAAAAAAACACCAATGCAGTTTGATCAAAAAAACTAGTAGGTAACTACGAGTATTATGAATTATAATATAGTTTATTATTTTTTATGTAATTTGAAAATGTATAATTGATACTATGTATAATCTCTAGTATCTATAGACTATAGTAGTTAAAAATGTAAAATATAATGTATTACTTGACCGTTACGATTTAAATAGTACTCTTGACGAGATATTGAATATAAATTATCAACTAGGTATTCGGGTTTCCAAAAAAAGTATTCCTCGTTAATTGTTTCTAGTTTCTATGTATATTTAATTAATTTATTATATAAGTAGCTTTTACTTTTTTCAATTCAATTGCAACTATAGAGCATAAAATTGTTTAAAATGATTATAAGTAGGTAGGTATACAATTTATAATTTATTGGCTGAATTAAATTTATAATTTTGTACTTACTAGTTAAAATCTACTTACATTTTTGACCGAAAAATTATGATCACTGTTTAAGAATAAAAATACTTTGTTGTATAAAAAAAATAGTTCACATTTTAACAGCTAGAATGCGTTCAAAATTCGTTAAATACTAAAATTTATGTCTCTATTTTATTGTGAAATATGTAATAATATTAGCATTACATTTAAGTACTGTACAAAAATCGGATGTTAAATTCTATAACACAGTAAATAACATTTAGAAAATTTATATACCCAAGTATCAAGTCAAAATTAACATTAAATTATCTGATGTAGAATGTATTGATCATTAAATTACTTAAATAACTTGGCCTAATTTAACATAAGTTTTCATTATTAATTGCGAATTTGCTGGTTTTATTATAACTTTCCAAAGAATTTTATGCTTTCTAAATACTAATAAAGTATTATCAATTTGTATACTAATTTTGAAAAGGTACATAGTATGCACTCAATATGTAATTAAAACAGTCTTTAGCTTTCATGAGGAGATAAAATATATAGGCTTTACAACAAATAATAATGTGTCTGATGGCTAGGCAATCATTTTATCAATGAGTCGATTTCTAAATTTAGTTGACTATAGATCCTGAATTCGTACACTAAAATTAAAAATGTTCAACTCAACCCCTTTCAAAATCGAAAAAAATACTCTAAAATTGTACATATTTTGAAGTTTAAAATTCGGTAGTGGGCACGTAATAGGGTAACTTTCCAAAAAATTATCGAATTAGATAAAAATGTATTCCCGATACTCATTCGATACATAATATAGCTAATAGCACTATAGACATACAGTAAAAAAAAAAATCCTAAACTTTTCCCTTAGAAGAATAGATGCTTTTTCTTGTTGAGAAAATGTATGTTTGTGTTGTTACTGATTGTATTACTTATTAGGTCTCCCTTATTTTAACACGCCCACGTTATCTCAATTAATTCTCTCTCAAATTATATCAAAAAATATACTGAATTATTGATGTATATAAATATATTTATATATTTTAATTGTAAGTTAAGGGTAAAAAGTAAAATATACATTATATATTTTGTAAAGAGAAGAAAAACCTGGTTCTGTATACTAGACCTACATACTACTCTGTTTTTAATTTTGATCACCTCGCCAAACGTTTGAATATCCATTAATTTATTCTAAGGCAATAATAATAGAGGTAAAATATCATTGTTTATGTATGTTATTAATACATTGTTGCAAGTTTGTTTACTACGGCACGTGCAAGGTTCAGATCAAGTTAGGCCTTGTAAAACGATAATAATTAATTTCGAAAACGTAAGAAGTTTTAAAATTTCGATCACAGACGAGGAAGTCGTTGTAGCTATAATAATGTGCATGTATTATTTAAAAATATTGTTGTTGAGATATTTAAAACAAAAAATATTATTTATATTAGAGTATCTTGTTAGAACAAATTTATATTTGATTAGGTTTATTTCTTGTAGGTACCATAGCAAGTATTGTTTAGGTACATGTAAAGTATGCCTGAGAGGATTTTGTAATACAACAACTGAGGGTTAAACAAGTTTAGTACATTTTATAGGTAATATTCGCAGAGACATTTAACATGTTTCCGTCATGAAAGCGTCTCCTGGGAAGATCACAATATTACGTTGAGAAGATTGTATTAAAAAAGATGACGTATAAAAAGTAGATTCTTGTTTTCAACGGGAGGAAGTAGTAGAGGACACATGTATTATTCATACTGCCTATTATACTTTTCGGTTTTCACGGATTTCCTTCATGCTATCCATTTCACAAACGCGCGGATTATCTACATGCGGTATCATCCCAGTAGCTGTAACTGCATGTGTGAGAATTAATAATGGTTTACTTATTATCGAGTAACGGTGTATGCTGCTTTATTGTTTGAGCCCGACTTCTCTAGGTATAATAATGTTCATTAACAACAGATCATATAATTTTATATATACATAGTAAGATATATGTATATTGGGATGATTTTCGGAATCATTAGTATGCACAAAACCATTGACAACACCGTTGTAATGGAATTCGTAGACGTAGGTACCTATCTTATGTCTGTAACAGCAGCTTTAAAAAGTCAAGTGTTATTTGTTGGCTAAATATGGACCACGAGTTTATTAATGTTAAATTATTTTTTAGATTAAAACAACATTTTTTTCTCTCCAAACTAATGGCTTTGTATTTTTGCTGCAACCAAACTTCTCTATTTTTATTTACTCTCTCTCTGCCATCCTCTTTCCATTTATTTTTCTCTTATTGTAATCATGAAATGATTAAAAAAAAATTTTTAACCGCCTTATACTTTCAATTAAATATATTATTTATAAACATATATAGAGTATTCCACGATGATTTGACCTTTTTAATAATCTCTTGGAAAAATTCATTTTTTTACATTTGCTTTTTCTAAATATTTCGTTAGCCAACAAGCAGTTTATTTTTTAGAATATAAAAAATCTAAAATCATTACTATTATTTTTTTAATTTGTATAATTAACAGTTTTACTTGAAAAACATTTTGAGTTTTAATAACGTTCATTAATCATTACTTTATAATTTTTAAACAACAAAAAAATAAAATGTAATTGATATTCAAGTCAGAGAGGAATATTTTTGTGGGGGGGTGGTTAAATTTTAGTCAATGGGCTAAGCCCCCCTCTAGTTGCACCACTGGGCCTAATCTAACACTTTGATTACTGATTACAATTATTAATCGTAATCAGATGACAATTTGCCCAACACTGGGCCCTATGCTCTGTAGTGCTATAATATTAAGTACTTCTTGGTTTGATCCATTTTCTGTCCAGCTTATCCTCATCATTTTTCGTCACGTCCACATTTCCAATGCTTCTATTTTCTATATTATAATATATACATTGTAGTATAAATATATATGAAATATTATGTCGTACAATATATTTTATAATGCGATATGACGACGCATAAGAACAAAGGTAAAGCTTCAAGGATGACCGTATGTCGTCTTAATGCAAACGTTTGCCGAATGGTAATCTGTCAAAAACTGCGGTCAACGACGATTTCGGATTATTATTGATTCTTCTCGCCTAAAAGTCATCGTAGTGCGGACACGACCTTAACCCGAATCCACTCTGAATATAGTTTCCGTTAAAACAATAATGGCGCCTGTGACCTGCATCCTCTACCGCTGTATTGTAATTTCAGCGATCAATTTTCAATGTAATTCCAGTTCGTGACTATTGTGTTATTAACAATATTAATGACATACTCTTATTAACATGATCTCAAAATACAGGTACATGGAATATTTATGTTTTTGGTCGTATAAAAAAAAATTAAACAACAAAATCTATTTATATATTTGTATATTGAATTGATTCACTGTAGTCGATTGTATCTTAATCATATTCGTAATAAAATATAAATTGCACCTAAAATCAATTTTCTATAGTGTGTTTTTACTAATTTGTCAATATAGGTAGGTTTACCTTTTTCCCCCTTTCTATTTTATATAATCTTCCTACCCAAAATTATTCAATGCTCTTATTTTCCATTTTAAACTAGGGACTTCAACGAATATTTATTTATTTTACTTTTATAATGAAGTCGCATACCCGACTTAATAGTATTAACTGTTAATTTGTTGGTGTATACTACTAAAATATAAAAAAAAACTGACTGTACAAATAAAAGGTTGAACAAATTTATTCATTACTATGTACTGTCTGTAAAAGCACGTTCAGCTCTATAGCGAAAATTCTTCTTCCCGCTCTACTCATATCAAAATAAACGAATTTACACCACTTTTCATTGAATGTTAAAAAGCAAGATTTAGAACTACATCATTATGCTTACATATGTGGTGGCATTCTACTCCTAATTACTGTAATTAAACTATTTTTTCTGATAAGGTGAGTGAATAATAATGTAGGTATATGTAAAGTTTATAGTCTACCATTTTAAAACAATAGTCAACATTTTGGAAAGACTTTTGTGATTGATATTTGTTGATAGAGTGTCTCTAATATTATATGCTAGTTGGTGAACATTATTTATTAATAATAATTGTGTGTTATTCACAAATAATTATTAACAAAATGCACAATTGTTTACTATTCATGATTTTTGTTAATATAAAAACAAACTTCATTACAATTTTCATAATCATGACTAGTGAGATAGATAGTCATATTTAATCTAATGTGTACATGTACTATATTAAGTCATATTATAACCTTTAAAAAAAACTCCAAAAATATAAAACATAATTTTTTTAAAAATAATTTCGTTACTCAATTTGAACCAGTAGTCTCTTTACTTACCAACTGCATATAATATTTGATCGAGACACTCTATCAAAAAATATCAATTAAAAAAGTCTTTCCAAGATTTTGACTATTGTTTTAAAATGTTAGGCTATAAACTTTACATATACCTACATTATTATTCACTCACCTTATCAGAAAAAATAGTTGTTTAATTACAGTAATTAGGAATAGAATGTCACCACATATGTAAGCATAATGATATAGTTCTAAATCTTGCTTTTTAACTGTACAATTTATGAACATTAAAATACTGAAATGTCTTTAACCTATTACTATTAATATTATAATTCTTTAATTCCACCTATAATATTATATTAACACCCATCCTAAATGTTCATCTCTTTGATGTTAGGAGCTAGTAGCTATAGATAGTGGTGTATGCCAGTTAAGAATAAGGAGATTGAGGTACAGAATCCAAATCTGACATAATGCCTATTGACATTAAAACTGGTGGATTAGCGTACCCTCTTAGGCGATACTTCTACAGTTCATCTAAAGACGGTTCACCGAAATAAAGTATGACCTCGTGCATGGTCTATCGTGGGATTACGTACTGCGAATGATTATTGGTGATGGCACTTCCCTTACAGCGAGAACGGAGAAACCAGAGTTGTATAGTATAGTAATTTAATAGTCAGTGGGTAAAAAATAATCCGTTTGGCTAAACATATTATACCTATTAGGTAAGTCGAGGCATAAATAGCAAACGCGATCAAAATCAAAATTGAAATTTTCACGAAATGCCGACCAACTATTGCCGTTGATTATATTAAAATTATTATTGTCATACTAATAATGCGGTCTAGTATTTTGTATTCGGCTGGTAAATCGCACAAGGCAATTATTTATGAGTGCGATAACCACGTGTCAAATATCGTTAACCGCAAAACTTAATGTTATTATTCGCTGTCACCGTGTAAGTAGTAATGGCTCTGAAGTGCTATGAGTAATGAATTAATGGAAATGAATAACGCCCGCAACAAATAGTTTCAAACCAGTCAGGGACGCGGTCCAAACCGGGCATTCCTAATCAAAATACATGACTTCTTCAGCAAGGTCTACGCAGGGTGGACCGTGCCAAATTTATTTACACTACATAACAACAATAATTACTATTATTATAAAATGAGCGATATTCAATGTATTTTATAATATTATGTTAGGCGTTCGCATCCTTCCGTGTCCACTACTCACGTGACACAATAGTCGTTTGTTGGCGACGACGGAAACTTATATGCGCTGAAAGCCGTCCAAACATAACGGTAACGTAATTACTTGTAGTAATAAAGATAATAATCACCATAATGCATGGTATTATAATATTATATATCGTCTTATTCGTTAGCCGAAATTGGATTTTGCCAAAAAGAGTGCAATGACGTGCACATGGGATGGTCAATAAATTTGTTTGACCGCTTACGGATTATAATGTGTGTGTGTTTTTTTTTTTATCTATTTATCTCTGCAACAATGTTACAATAATGTCGAATCGTCAAACCCCGTTAACCGTACCGAATTAAATTCCATTCGAGTTCACATACATGCCTACAACAATAATAGACACTGTATATTTTAAGCGGGTTTACTCGTTTACCGAAAGCCAGCGCGAAACTTAGCCGGAATGCGGATAATGCATAAAGATCAGCGCCATATTCAATAAGTTGTGCTGCCGGGTAGTCCGTTGCAAAGTGCACACGGTCGAAATGCCCGTAACTTGCCCGTAACTCACTTTGTACTCGACAAATACCAACGGTTTTATTGATAAATGTAAAGAAAAAACTCTGTTATACTATAGATACTATATATATATATATATACCTACCTACCTACCTACACGTAAGTGCGCCGTGTCGTTAACCGCTTCTTACCCCAACCGGCCGTCTAACCCCTACAAGGTATATAGGTATACTACCGAGTCAAAGACATTTCGCCTTAAACGTATCCCGATAACGTTATTGTAAACGACACAAACCTAATGTATTATAGCCCGAAGGCTATTGAAATTTATGTCGGTACTTGCATTTTTGTTCACCATAAAGGTCTACGTACCCAAACGTCTTTATGTCATCCCAAGTAAAATGTTTTCAGTTTTATTAAGAAACATATTGCTGTTCTTTCGCATTAATAATTAGTTATTGAGGCCTTAGATTAGAGTTAGTTTTTCTTCTAAATTATACATTCAATACGTTCCTATGCAGTGTTTTCAAGTCACACCGTTGATAACAAAAGTGGGTACACGATTAATGCATGCGTGGTCGTCCTACCGGACACTTACAGAGATAATCGGCATTATTATTTTTTATTCAACAAGAGCAAGGTTTATCTCGGTCGTTTCGTTGACCTTAAATTGTTCAATATCACACATAGCTGTTATGTACGGGGTATACGTCTTTTGGAGAAGCAATGCGCAAATAACAATTATAATAATATTATTATTTTAATGTTATGATCATCGGTGTACACAGACAGAGCTCGACGTTGGTCTTTGTTGGACATTGACCAACCGCGTTCCAAATTAAACACTTGTAAATTGTAATATTATGCCGTGTCGTCGCTGGTTGTGTAAATATCATCGCCGTCGTTGTCGTCGCATAACACGACAGCCGCCACTATAAGGTTCACTGGCCAGAAGACCATGACAATTGAATTATCCGTCTTCTTATTTATGCACAACGTATTATGTACGTTTAATAAACGAACATCCCAAGAAAATTATCTCTCATTCTCGACTCTCGGATAAATCAGTATTGTACGCTTATGGGATCGACCGATGGGATGTGAATGTGGGATCTGCGACCACGCAAGTAAACTCGCTTGAATTTGTTTAGCATAATATAATTATAGAAATGCTTTGTTCGGGTAATTGACTAGAAAAAAAAAAGTACTTATAAAGCAATAAAAAAAAGAAGAAAAAAACGTAAAACTATTAAGACACGAAATTAAGAGTCCGTAATCTTATCCTTAAAAGAATTTCGATATTTTTACCGAGAGCATTAATACATCGTTAGCAGCTCGAGGATAATGTTTTTAAATTTAAAAACTACAATTTTTTTTCAAGTATTTGTGTATTGTTTCTTGGTATTTAGTAATTATTCTACTATTGTTCTATATTTTGTACACACATGTACAAAATATACCTTTGAAAGCTAAAGCTCTATAATATGGTTATTGCTTGAAAAACTGCACTTATGACATAATTGATTTTTTAGTAGTTTTTGGCGGAACAAATAGAAAATATAACTAGAAATCTATGTGAATAAATAATATTAATGTTGTTATAATAACGTGTACTTATAGTGAAGTATTAAAGTAACCGCTAGTACGAAATTTTATCGTTATAATATTTCAACGAAAATTATAATGCTCTTGACCACGACACGGTTTATACATTATATAAATAATGTTTCAAGACACGTAGGTATCCGTTGTAATCAAGACTGATATCTCAATACGCCGCTATTATGAACGTGCAAACAACGAGATATTGAGTTTTATATACTGCGAATATGTTACAGTATGATCGACATGGGAAATTATATCCACTATACAGACAATACAAGGGCTTTATAAAGCCAACGTAAACGCTTTGATTAGTAGTCATAATATTTAACATGCTTAAGTGTTAGGTACAGCGACCATAATGGACGCGCTGAGTGCAGACAGCCGAGTTTGTTTTTCTTTGAATCTGCCTAATTAATTAAATTCGCACGATGAACAATCGTGACATTTTAGAGCTATAGTCCTCAGTTAGCTGTAGGTATTAGCCTCACGCTATATTGTTGACCAACATAAATGCACGACATACTAAGTAGTCATTTGTCCGTGTCTTATATAATAATTATTAATAATATTATAGTGACACTTTCACGGTCATCGAGTGTGCTGCTGAAAAGTGCATTAATTGTTATGTAATTCATATAATTACCAGTAAGTTATCGTTCAACGGCTTTAAATAAGAAATTAAATGTCATGGCTTATGTACTAAATACATATATTTCCTACGCAGAAAACTTTAATGTACTTAATCAACGTTACACACTCGTATTCAGTAGTATACTTACAATATATTTAAATGTAAAGTGTAATGGTATCTTATTAACGCGTTTTACAAATAATTAAACCTATACACTAATAATGCTTTAGGCATTAGCTGTTAATACCTTAAGATTTTTGACCGAACTATAGGTATAATATGTATTTTGGTTTTACCGCCAACAAAGGCAACATTCATTCTACAAAATAAACCTTAAAATACTATGAAATGTGTTAGAATTTCCTATTGACACCTAAATACGTAAACAAATTATCTACTAAAAAAATATAATGTTTGTAAATGACAGACAATTTTATTAGTAAAAAATAATTACATAGAGAAATGAGTAGGAAAGGTAATATAGAATGTGGAAGGTAATATTGAAGTGTTCATACATATAAACTGTTAAGTCCAGCTCAAACAAATTAATAATTATAGGGTAATCACCTAATGTGTGTGCGAGTGGATTTTTATAATGCCTCAAACTTACATATCCTATGCAAACAGTTCTATAAAAACAAAAAAAAAAGGAAGAAAAAAATTTTTTAAATTCCTGAAATTTGTTGTGAAAACACCTTAAGTTCATGATCACGTTACTTAATGACTAATTATGATATCGTAATGGAACTTCCATTAAACAATTTTAATTTAAGTATTCTTTTTCATAATATACTTGAAAATTTTTTTTTCAAATATTTAAGTACTTTAAAACTGAAAAAAAAATTCAAAATTTTATGAATTTCATTCAATTTTTTTACTGATTTGAAGTCAAAATTTCAAAACTATTTTAAAAAAATTTTTTTGTGATGTACAAGGAACTTCAAAGTTTGGCATTTTATTAAAAAGTGCTATACTTAAGTCCCTATAGTTTATTATGACATGAACCAAAAATTCTGAAATTTTTACAGCACTTACTTATATATATTTAGAACATTTGGTAAAAGTTTTGTAATGGAAACTTTTTTTTACTAGGAACTGTAAGATTTTGAATTTCTCACTATAGTACTACGATACAAAATTTTAGAAAAGCGTCGCCTAAGTCCAAAAAAAATTTTAAAAAATGTTTTTCTTCATTGTTTTGGTTTTAAGGAACTGTTTGCATAGCATATGTATGTTTGAGGCATTTTAAAAATCCACTCGTACTAGGTGATTTGGCATGGAATGACCCTATAGCAAATAGAACATTATGGCTTGAAATTATTTTTAAATATTATGTAAGTTGTGAACATATTAGATAGTGGAAGTAGTGTATCGGTTAATTTTTTAAGGGTATCTTGGTCTTTAAAATAATATGATTATACCCGCATTGTTTTTTCATTTAAAACAAAATCTTTCTCATTCAATTTTTCATAAACTTTTCTAAAAATTATAGCAAGTATTAAGATTTTGTAAAAAATCATTTTTAATTTTGTTTTTTAATACATATTTCACTTCTTCTAATAAACCTCTTAAAAACTCTTTAAATATCTTTAGTTTACTATTAAATGTTATTATAACTATAGGACTGTAATAGAACTTTGACCACCAAAATCGGGTTGTTCAGTTGAATAATTAAAAATTTCTATGTAGACTAAAGAAACAACTGTTCTATTTTTTTATTCAATATTTAGGAGATTAAGGTTGAGGCTGGTACAGCATAATTTAGTTTTTACATAATGTATGGGATCAATTTTCAGAACAGAAACAGCTTGCAGTACATGTAGGGCCATAGCTGACACCTTCTAGTTTGGGGAATCCTGACGGATTCGCTATCCGCTATGTGATGTATTTAGTGTTTTAATGTTAAATAAGCTGAAGATTTATGAAAAATCAAACACGAGTTACTTAATTTAATTGTGACTGTTATTTAGTACATATTTTCCTTTGACCTTGTATCTTGTACTGTCGTAAATGTTTGTACAGGTACCGTCATCTTGTTAGGTACCATAAACTTACTTATATAAAACAAATATCTCGGCATTCCAGTTCTGGTCGTTTGGCGTCCTCGTTCTTATATTGACTTTGCCTGCGCAAATCAAAAGTTCTGGAAATACGTGGAAGATTTTCTTGTATGTAGCACACGTGTGGATTTATGGGTTCACATTTAAGTCTCAGACGCCATTGTTCGCCGACCGGGTGTATTTAGTTGTCATGCAGGTAGAAAGAGCGCTGCAGACAAACGTTTACAAGTATATCACAGCCTACAGAGATATTTGCCATACGTCATATGGCCATAAAGTAGTACTCCGTACAAAATTGATATGTTTGTGTGCGACCGTTTGTCCAGCAGATCGTCGGCGAGTATTTAAATTTACGATGACCTGACAAAGGAGATGGTGGCGCTGATTTTACTTAAGCAGTTTTTTTTCTAAAGTACAGGCTATAATAATATTATACTGCAGCAAGATATTTTGTCGTTTATGGATCATTAAGCCACAGACAAGAAATCCACCGACGGCTGTAGAATTAATCTCGTTTTCGATTTTCTTTGATAATAATAATTATTATTACCAAAAGTGTAACGAAATAATGAGAGCAGTTATTTTCAAAATGGTATTATTACATTGAAGTTTTTACACTAACCATCTGAAATTCAAAGGTGTTTTAACTAAGCGTTACGTTTGATATAGCGGATCGTCCTTGGGAATTATTCACAGAAACGAACAAATTATCTCATTGCTCTTCGAACGAATACCTATAAACACTGACCGTAAGATCAGTATCATTCCAAAAACAATGATCACTACACAGCTTCCAACATTTATTAGTACGATTCTTTCAAGGTTCACGATTTTAGTCACGCTAGCAGTTTTTGTGAAAAAATACTAGTGGCCGGCGAAGAATTACTTGTGAATTCAACAAAACACCATAGCTGGTGTAAACAAATTGTTAGTGTTTACTCGAAAATGAAGAATTAAGAAAAATGAATAATCTTGGATTCTTTAATTATCTGGATATTATTAAAACCTGTTATTACACTTCACACTTTTCAGTGGAGTTCTGAGAATCTTGCATCTTAATCCTTTTTTCTATCTTATCATAACACTCCAAGCATGATTTTTAAGAGAGTAATTTTTTACGAGTACTCATAAGTACTTTATATGTGTATTTTATCATTTCAGTGTCTGTGTTTTTTATAGAAACTACATGATTAATAATGCATTAATACCGTTGTTCGGTCATAATAAGTAGAAAACAAAGTGATGACTACATAAAAATAATATGTTGTGGTGGCTAACATGTTGTCGACTGCTTAGACCTTTTTGTTCAATTGATATTTAAATTACATTTTTAATTCATTGAAGTACCTATCGTTCATCTACAACCCATAATTATGGAAACTGGAAAGTTGCAGCGTTAGTTTACCTATAAAATACCACCATCGACGATAGCCGTAATAGAGAATCTTCTACCAGATTATTACCAATTATAACCAAGTAAAATAATGATAAATTTCGTTACAGTTAATTTGAATAAAACATATCTGTATAGTGGATGAAGTATGGTTGTATTAATTCCATCCATGTATTACTATATATTTATAATAGTATATTCCGGAATGAAAAATAATAATTAACTATCAGATGCCAATCTTAGGATGGGGTTTGAGCTTCCAAAATGTTTACTTTTTACCCTATTCCGTTACACTGTATACAATACAGTTTTACTATATTACTTATAACTTTTTTTTTTTATATGTGCCTGTATAAAATATTTTTGGATTTATTTTACACACGAAACAAAAAAAATTAGACATTGAATTTAAATATTTCTCAACTTTTCACTTTTATTTTACCTTATAATGATAAAATAATGGTATTATTTATTAAATATTGTAGCATTAAGCCCTCGCTGTATTACTGATGTTTATTTAAAAAAAAAATGTAATAACTGTTTTTAATCTGGATAAAAATGTATACAATTATATCTATCCTATCCAGATCTATTTTTTATATTATTATTATCTAAACTCAACACTATATGTATGTATCACTAACACGGAATGTATATTATGTAATAGTATTATTTTAATTTTAGATTTGAAGTAATAAAATATTATTTTTACTTGACAAACAATTTATTTGTTTGTAATTATTATATTATATATAAGAGCGTGTAGGTACGGTGCAAATTGTTTATATATCTCATAACTCATACGAACAGCCATTAAATTGTTTTTTTTTTTAACGACATACGATAAGTGTTATCGAGCCTACCCTTTCCCGGTGACGACCTTCGGTCAAACAAACCAAGGTGGGCCGCCCCCTGGCAGTATTCGGTTTCGGGGTGGAGACCGTTGGCCGTCGCCGGAGACTTATTCAATATTCTTGATCATTCCACCGCGGTCTGTCTCGTCCGTCGGATAACACAATACACAAGTCCATCATCACCACCGTCGCCGACACCGTCATTCGGCCACCAACACAGGTATACACATAAAATCACTTGGGGAAAAAAATAAAACACAAGTATATTACTTACTACTGCAGTTGGTTGTTGTTGTTATTATTATTATTTTTTTTTAATCCGTTTCTTTTTCGTGGCTTGGCGTACTTATACTTATTAAAGTTTTTATTATTTTCATCCGCGCTGCCGGTCTCGGTGTTTAGTGTTTATTGGCAGTATAGAGCCGATCACCGTTATCGTATATACGTGACAGAAAACTTAAAATCATTTCTATACACTCTGGAAAAATTAACACAATACACGCCGGCGGTCCGTTCGGGTGAGGTTACCGTACTGGGTTTAGTAAGCAGCTGCCGTTTGACGGGTTTGGAATTGGACAATCGGTCGCGTGATCCGCGAAAATAATGATATATGCAACGATTTTCTAAAGTTCGGTGACATTATTCGTCTTAATTGGTTGCAGTTAAGTATATAAACGTACAAATTGGCTAAAAAAACAACTCCAAGCAAGTTATGTATAGTTGCTGAGAACCGGTAATTAAGAAAACTTGCCAAGTACCATTTTCAAACGCGTGCGCCGAACTCGGTAAGATCATGATTTCATGTAAATAAATTGTTTGAGTACAATACCTTAGTATAATACCGTGTCGATATTGATGTTCCTCAATTAATGTGAGCATAATTCATTTTCTAAAATTTTCTAAGGACAATTTTCGAACTCTGGTTTTTAAGTAGACGTAGGTATACGCATAATTAAAAACATTAATCTCCAAGTAGAGAATAGAGACATGACATTCAAATAATTTATGAAAATAAAATTAAAATGTATTGTATGAATTATACAAAGTATAAATAGTACCTACATACGTGCAGTGGTGTATAAAGAAGGGCGAAAGCATAAGAAGCGATAAACCCTTTTGAACTTGAGATCTATCGCTTAGAGCTTAACTACATTTTTACTACTTATATTAGACTTTTTTTTCGATGACCTGATTAGGTAATAGCTTCCCCAAGCTCTCATCTGATCTTCTTTTAAAGATATTAGAAACTACATAAATATTTTATAATAATCTTATAAAATTAATGGATTTGCTTAATTAATGTAGTAGGAGTTTCCTCTAAAACCATTGTTTTAAATAATTAACAGTTATTTTTAAACTTCTATGTTTTTTATTGAGATCTATGTCATATTTGTATTAAGTTTTAGTTGTATTACCTAAAGTTCGATAATATGAATTATTATCACAACTTTAAAAATACAAATAATTGCTTGTAATAATATAATTTTAAATAAAGTCAATATTTTTGACGATGTTAGATATATTTAAATATTGAATACACAATCAATTATTTTAAGACACTATTGTAAAAAATGAAATAGTTAAAAGATATATTATACGTATACGTATGCATACTATCCGATAAACGAGGTTAATATTTAGATTTGAAAATAAAGCGTTTTTTGCGGTTGTTAACTTTTTAAAAAGCAAGAATTAATTTAATCATGTTCTAACACTTCGAGATACTGATGCCTGAAGATATTGGTAATGTATTGGTATAAAGTAAATTATTTTAGCATTAATTACGCATTAGTGATTGGTCATTTTTATTTTTTTATAATGGCCAATTTATATTTTACATACTCGTAAGACGTATTTGGTGTTTTTCAGATGTCATTTTTAATTTAAAATTCTTTGATCAGTTTCAGAAAGTTATTGTGTATAGTATTTTAAAGTTGAAAAATATGTCAATTTTGCCCCCGCCTATGCCTTGTCCCGACTGTGCTTGATTTTTGTTCGGTGGCTATTTTTTTCTTATGGGAATGTTATTTAACTGCATTTTGAGTTATTCGTCGATATTATTACTACTAATTTCTCTCGACTTGAGCAACTGCGATAAATATATTATTTTCTATTACATTAGTCTTCTTTGTATTGGTATGTTTTGCTTAGTGTTTTTTTTTGTAAACAACCTGACACAGTTAACAAGAAAAAAGTACACGCCCTGCGAAGGAGTTCTAACGTCTTTTGTGGAGTGGTAAAGCCAAGCACAAGTATCCCGCCAATCGCAATTGTCTAATGTGGCGCATTGTTTGACACCCGGCGGGCTCGAAAAACGCCGATACATTCATATTCAGTTCAGATAAAACCGAACACGCTTAATCATAGACAAATTTAGTACTGACAGTAGGCAAATCGTAATTCGGTACACCGGTTTCGCCGCAACGCAGAGTTAATTTGATAATTGTAGGTCCTAAGCCATAGGATTAAGTTGCACGTGCCCGCGAGTGACTTCAACAACAGTAGTCATCGTATCCTATTTAGGATATCTCGCTACAATGGCGATGGAAATGATAATATGAGAATAATACTGAGGCGATGACCGGTTTATATGTCCATCGTATAATAATGACATACCTATCAATGACCATAATAATACACAAACAACGAAGAAGTCGACAGGCTTAACTGACATATTACGTGAAATAAATAAAAAAAACGACACGTGTGGTATCCGCGGAATCCGAAAAGTCTTGATCGTGAATTATACTTGAATTTTATAGTAGTAATTTTAAAACATAACAAGTGAATAATTCCTCATTTCCCATCTTACTCCACTCCCCTAAAGATCTTATTCTCTTCTAACGAATTGTAATTCCTGAAAAAACACACGGTTTCCCTATTAGGTATTTTTCATTCTACCGTCCATCATGTAAATCGTAATTGATCGATAAATTGTTGATGAATCTTGTTAAAAAAATATTTTTTTATTTAAAATGCCCGCGAAAAGTCTAAGCACTGAGCTAATGAAAATGATATAATTTATTATATAAATATTAATATTATAATATTATATATATATTATATATTATAATATATTAATTTATGATATAATTTATTATACCTACTTTATAGTAAAAACCTCTTTTTGAGCAATTTTCGATGGACTGCAAGTAAGAGCCTATATTTTCAAATATCTAGCAAAAAACACAATAATATTGTCGCTAATACGCTATTTCTACTACATATAATGTAGTAATATTTATTTTCTAATATTAAAATATTTGCTAAGTTTTTTTTCGATGATATTCGATTTTGGTTGACATTACGGTAAAAAACCATGTAAACAGAAAATGTTGTCTTCATTTTCTATAGGTACTGTACTATCTTATTAACAACAAAAAAAAAACGGTACTAATTATTTGAAATATTTTTCCAGCCATGAGCGTGTTCGGTATTTGGTTAACCGTTATCCTTTTGTCTGTCCCGTCGCGAGGTCAATCATTTTTTTACAGCGAACCCGACAATTACCATAACAGGGACTCGAATAATTTGCAAAACAGAGCTGCGGTCGAACGAATACCTGACATCTTCGATAGGTAAGTTTTGTCCAGTCTAAGTTAAAACAAACCGTAAATACTTCTATAGTAATAGTATCAGATAAGGTAATGTCCTCGGTTTTCATTATTTTTTAGGTATCAAACCCGCAATCTAGTTCGAGATGCCGTGGAAAAATTGCCGTCCAAAATTGGCTACTTAGGCGAGGCTAAGTATCGACTTTCATCGGGAGGTAACGTTATAGAAACGCATCATACAGTATATTTTAGAACGGCCGGTGTAGTAGTATTTGTCTTTACATTGTCTGAACTACAGATTTTACTTCTTTAAACTTCCATATTTTACAGTATTCTTTGTTGTATATTATATACATATGGTATATTAAGCTTAATTTTAATAATATCAATTATGAAATCCTCATCAGTCATTCTGAAGCTTTTTTTTTTTGTTTAACTATTTATTCGGTATTGATATGAATAATAAAACCGTTTTTGGCAGGTAATAACGTTATTTGTCACGTGGACACCACCCAATACCATAAGAATCAAATTCCTAAAAAATTAGAACAAACCATCCAGTCGTCATGCACTCACGTGCTGTTAAGTTCCGTGGACACGAATTTCGATGCTTTAGCCAATCGCTGGTTCATTAGCCAGTCCAATGGTAGGCGTCCAATAACCGCTTAAATACTTGTAGACTAATTATAATTGATTTAAAAACTTATTCAGGTACTTTTATATCGGTGGCGCGATTGAAAAAACAAAACCCTTCGATAAAAATGTTATTATACGTCAACGACATTATGCCGGACAGTGTGTCGGTTACCAGACGAGATTTCGTCATTTCCGTTAACGATTTATTGAAAACACACGGGTTCGATGGCATTGTTTTGTCCGACGTTTTGCCAAGATCAACGAGTAAGTGGCTTAAACAGAACACATTAAATTACAATTACGGTGTCCGCGATAAATCGTTAACATACTGTGTTGTTTCTAGACGAATTGTATTTCGACGAAGACGATACGACCAAAGAAGAATTCCCGCTATTGGTAGAAGAATTGGCAAGCGTGCTGAAAACCAGAGGATACTTATTGGGCATGGTCGTGTCTCCTGTAGATCACATTTCGCGTAATTACGAAGCGTCCAGACTAGTTCCCAATCTAGACTTAATTATTCTGAAGAGCTTTGATTTCCGAAAATACGACAACAAAGTCGTTGGCCATCACTCTCCGTTGTACAGCTCTGTCGACAGGGATCCTTCGTCAAAGTACCACAACGTCGTGAGTAAAGCATAATAATAATTGTTATTAATACATAAAAAAATTGCTCGACCTCGTCGATGTATGCCTGTTTAGGATTATATGGTGAAGTATTGGCTACACAAGGGTGCCGTGCCCGACCAATTAGTCATCGGCATAGCTTTGTTCGGCCGGAGTTTCAAGCTGGAAGATCCTAATTACTTCCAACCGGGATCACGCTCCGCGGGTAATGGCCATGCTGGCCGGTGGACAAAAACTCCGGGATATCTATCCTATTATGAGGTTTGTGAACGTATGAAACGGAACGACTGGAAACAGTATTCGGACTCAGCGGGCTCGCCGTTTCTCGTCAGAAAAGACCAGTGGATCAGTTACGAGAATCCCCAAAGTCTGATTAAAAAGGTAACTAAAATAAAGCAGCCCGGGTGTTATTACAGTCACAAAATACAACTTCGTGGTATTCTAGTTGGAATACGTAGGAAATCAGAGATTGGGAGGAGTGATGTTATGGTCGATTGATTCAGACGACTTTAACGGGATGTGCGGTTTACCTTGGCCTCTCGTCAATACAGTAAAAACATTTACGACCCACGGTAAGTTAGAAGTTAGTGTAAAATTAATATGTTTAGGTTACTTAAGTTTTATTTAATGTAGCGAACAACTTCCCATTGAAATTGCGCGATGTTCCAATGGATAGCAGTGAGTCTATATTACACGTCATGGTACAAAATTAAAAAAATAGAATATACAAAATAATTTTAATATTTTTTAGCGTTAAACAAAAAAGTAATTTGCTACTACGCCAGTTGGTCATGGTACCGAGTCGGAGATGGAAAGTACGCTCCAGAGTATATAAATAAGAATCTTTGTACCCACATAGTATATGCGTTTGCTGCTCTAGATCCAAATGAGTTGATAATGATAGCAGGCGACGAATGGGAAGACGTTGAAAACAGTATGGAGTACTTTTAATAATTCCTAGTTAAGACAAATATTGAATAATGCAATTTATTTTATCCCTAGAATTCTACGAACGATTTATTTCAAAATTAAAATCAGGGAACACAAAAATAATGATTTCCTTAGGTGGATGGACAGATTCGTATGGTGATAAATACACAAAACTGGTCGGGAGTGGTGTAGCCAGAAAAAAGTAATGTTTATAGGAATAGCTAATTTTTCATGTATCTATATTAAAAACTAACGATCATCATTCCAGGTTTGTGACTTCTGCTGTAGCATTTTTGAGAAAACACAATTTTGATGGTTTACATCTAGACTGGAATTATCCTGTGTGCTGGCAAGCCGATTGCACTCAAGGACCGCCTTCCGATAAATCTAATTTTGTCAAATTAACGCAGGTACTGTGACTTCGTATTATATGCAATATAAAATACTAAACAATGCGGACGTTTATTGTATTAGACATTAGTATTGTAACGAGTATTTAAGCAAAAATATTTTTTTAGGAATTGAGAGCTGAATTTAATAAACAAGATCCACCGTTTGAACTATCAGCATCGATCTCTGGCTACGACGAAATCATAAAAGAAGCTTACGATTTCCCCAATTTGAGCGAGAATTTAGATTTTATGTCGGTAATGACGTACGATTATCATGGGCCATGGGAAAATATTACGGGTCATGTGAGTCCGGCCTACTATAAAAAAGACGATCAATTTCCAAAATATAATATGGTGAGTATAATTTCAACTAAAATGAGCTCTCTATCTCTCTCTCTCTCTATAGTTACCAATCCATAGATTGGTTTTCAGTTAACACTGCGTAGTGCGTAAAAGCTCTCTCTGTATTTAAATTTGAAGTAAACATTTGTTTCTTCTTTAGGACTCCACTATCAAGTTGATTACTAGATTGGGCGCAGATCCAGCTAAGATAGTGTTAGGTCTGCCGTTCTATGGACAATCGTATACCTTAGCATCGAGTTCTGAACATGGACTCGGAGATCCTGCCAAAGGGCCAGGTATTCCAGGTGAATACACCCAACAGCCCGGCATGCTGGCGTACTATGAAATATGTAACAGAGGTATTCATTGAACTTAACTTAGGTAGGTATATGGAATTAAGTCACTGTGTATATTTAACTATTTTAGTGTACAATGAAAACTGGCAGTCATCTCGCGATAAACAGAGCGGACTGGATCCATACGCGTACAATGGCAATCAATGGGTCAGTTACGATGACGAGACGTCGATAAGACTTAAGGTAGTATTATTTTATTACCACGAACCATCTTAAATATCATATTAGTAGTATTGTTGCTTTAGTCGGAGTACATAGTGAAGCAAAACCTTGGTGGCGCAATGGTCTGGACAATCGACTTGGATGATTTTAGTAATAGATGCTGCAGGGGAGCTTACCCGTTGCTAACCAAAGTAAACGAAGTGTTCCAGAGAATTTCAATTAAACCGTCATATTCAGGATGCAAAAAACCAGATTATCCTATAACACCAAATGTCCCACTTCCAACTACTACTGAGGAAGGCGAAGGTAATTGGTTACTATTTGAAAATTGTAAAAACTGTCTATAGGTAATCTAATTCAACAGAAACAGTTTCATATTAAGCATTTGCACATATTCGCAGACAAGTTACTATAATGACAGCAAAAGAAAAATGTAAAACGATCTACACGGCTAATATCTTTATATACAAAAATAGATATATTATAATTATAATTGCTCCAATATTGATTTAATAAGAGCACTATTATTTGTATCAAAGGTTCATGGGAACATCAAATGGAAATGATGACTACTTCCACGTCGACGACGACAACAACAGCTGAACCAATACAAGTTTTTACTAAACCTCAATCTCGACCTACAACTTCTACAACCACAGAACCAGCATTGTGGACAACGCCGTCTGTGACATCAACATCGATTGAATCGACAACAGAAACTCAGCAACATCAGACTCACAGTCCTCCAGCAAACAGACCTTGGTGGTCTGAACAATCTACAAAAAGACCAGACCAACAACAACGACCACAATCTTGTGTAGAAGGTTCATACAAGCCATCAAAAGAGAGTTGTCAAAATTATTATCAATGTAAAAACGGAAGGTACAGACGTCATTCGTGCAAAAAAGGTCTTCTATGGAATAGAAGCGCAAATAAATGCGATTTGTCGGAAAATACCAACTGCAATACTCTCGGTAAGTCGTTAAAATTTTTTTTTAGCGAATACCTACTTTCAAAAACTATAATAAAACTATGGTTATGGTAATTAACAGACAGTTCACAGCAATCAGTTCAGTCACCAATGACATCTGAGAAACCAAACAGGCCATCGACATCATCTCAGCCAACACCAACAACAGTAAGTATTTATTTTTGATTGGTACATATTATTATACAACTGACTAACCTTAATATTTTAATATGAATTTTAGACCATAAGGGATACGACATGTGTTGAAGGAGAACAGATAGCAACTACGAGCGATTGCATTTCTTATTTCCTATGTTCACGCGGACAGTACATTAAGGAACTTTGTCCTCCAGGATTAGCTTGGAATGATCAAGCTAAAATATGCGATTGGAAGCAAAATGTGAATTGTGAAAATAGGCGATCAGATAGTGGAAATTTACAACGGTTCGTCGATAATAACGGAAATGAATTATCTACCTCAGGATTGGTCAAAATTCGTAATTTACCTAAACCATTGTTTGTGTACAAACAATCATTTTCCGAATGCCAAGACGGTCAATTTGCTCCACACCCAGGAGATTGTAATAAGTTCTTACAATGTTTGTGGGGAAATTTTAAAGTAAACTCCTGTCCATCTGGACTCTATTGGAACGCCGTAAGAGTATTTGCTTAAAATAACTTTATCCCAACTAATTATGTTTTTTCCCTCAAATAGGCACTTAATGTATGTGATTGGCCCTATAATTCTGGATGTGTTCAATCCGAACAAGTAAATCTGCCTATTGTTGGAAATTATCCGACATCATCTCAAGTAACACAATCTAGGCCCACTCCAAAACCGATCACGAAACCTACGACCACGAGGCCTACCACAATAACGCCTTCTATGGAGAGTTGGTGGAAACCACCTTCTACTACCGAACTAGCGACAACTGAAAACCCGTGGGCTTGGAAACCAGATTCCACTACGGAAAACTCAGGATTGTGGAAACCTGAAGAATCTAATACAGGAGATCCTTGGGAATGGAAACCTACCACTACTACAGGAGATCCTTGGGAATGGAAACCTACCACTACTACTGCGGCAACGTTGCCAACAACTGAATCAAATTACCAGTTAACAGGTTGTAATAATATATATATTTCATAACATGTAGATCATTAAGATAGTAACCTTTTTTGTTTACTCCATTACAGAACAGTATAAAGTTGTTTGCTACTTTACCAACTGGGCTTGGTATCGACCATCGGCCGGCAAATTTTTCCCTGAAGACACAGATCCAAATCTCTGCACTCACATAGTGTATGGATTCGCGACTTTAGATTATACCGAATTAACTATACGAGTATTTGATTCATGGGCTGATATAGATAATGGTAAAGTGTACTTAAAAATGATACTATTATTCTTATGTAATCACAAACGTAACTTTAAATCGTGTATCTTGAATTATAATTTCTATTGTAGATTATAGAAAAAATGGAAATATTATGTTGATTGAACATTGTGCTATTATTGTTATTGAGTGAAATTTCTAAAAATCCTCGTCATTACGTTTAGTCAATGAGAATTAAAGATATTTGTTATATTTCTTTCTCAGTCTACGAAATATTAGAAGCCAATATTGTTTGACAGATATCTCTCTATTTTTAAAATGATTTAATTGTCACTCTTTAGTCACAAGACTACGATATATGTTATCTTTTAATGTTGTAGCTTTAGGGAATAATACTTTTTTTTTTTAAATGAGAGTTTTATTTATTTTTACAATGTTTTAGGATTTTATGAGCGACTAGTGGCGCTGAAAAAACGTGGCGTTAAAGTGTCTATTGGATTAGGAGGATGGAATGATTCGGCGGGCGATAAGTACAGTAGAATGGTAAACAGCCGAGCCAATCGTAAGAAGTTTATTAACAGTATAATTAAGTTTATTCAAAAGTACGGGTTCCAAGGCCTGGACGTTGACTGGGAGTACCCAAAGTGTTGGCAGGTATTTAAATGACCTAGTTTATATTAAATAATACACGTTATAAACGATAGTAACTTTGAAATACAATTATGTCACGTACAAATGTTATGATTATAGACTAATTGTAATCAAGGACCAGATTCTGACAAACACTCGTTTTCGAGTTTATTAATTGAACTTAGACAAGCATTTAGACCATACGGTTACTTATTATCTGCCGCCGTTTCACCTAGCAAAGCTGTAATTGATGCAGGTAATATAAAATAGAGACAGGACTTTGCTAGTTACTAATATTATTATTTATATTTGTTTACATTGTACTTATACACATTTATTGGAATTAAATAATGTTTTAGGATATGATGTTCCTATTCTAAGCAAGTATTTAGATTGGATTGGTGTCATGACTTACGATTACCACGGTCAATGGGATAAGAAAACTGGACATGTCGCGCCTATTTATTATCATCCAGAAGATGAAATTAGTTACTTTAATATGGTACCATTGCATTTTTTATTCAAATGTATTCCATAAAAAAGATAACTTTAATATATTTTTTAGAATTACACTATAAACTACTGGATTGAGAAAGGGGCTAATAGCAGAAAAATTGTGCTGGGCATACCACTCTACGGTCAATCGTTTACTCTATCTAATCCCAACGTTCATGGATTAAATGCTCCTGCTTCAGGAGCCGGGCAAGCCGGACAGTTTACACGATCCGCCGGATTCCTTGCTTATAATGAGGTTGGATCTATAATTAATACTTAAACATAGAATAATTAACACAATTTGTCTGGTATTTAGATTTGTATTAAACTTGCATCTGGGCAGTGGAATATTGTTCGCGATCCAAAAAAAAGAATCGGACCATACGCTTATAGTGGTAATCAGTGGGTAGGATTCGATGACATTTGGTCTGTAAAACAAAAGGTAGGAATCTCAGCAAAACAACGGTATTTCGTATAATATGTTATATTATCTGTTTATGTGAATACATATATATGTATTCACATACACAGATACAGTTTATTTATAATTATTATTATAGGCAGACTACGTGAAGACGATGAATTTGGGTGGCGCAATGATTTGGGCATTGGATCTAGACGACTTCCGAAATGTATGTGGACAAGGACATTACCCATTACTAACTACTATTATGAAAACTTTGGGTTATAAAAAAGGTATTAACAATACAATCAATAAAATATCGAACTTTTTGATGTTTTAATTCTTGTTTAAAATGAATAACAGGAGACACATTTACAACTTCAGCGACCAATGCCTCGTCATCATTGGTTACTGGAAGCTATCCCTCATATCCTCAAACTGTATCACCTACAGAAATGGTACCGACTACTAGGCCGCCAATGAGACCGACGACTACCAGGCCAACGACGGTTAGGCCAATAGCCACTAAACCACCAACAACTAACAAACCAACCACTGTGAAACCTACAAGCCCATTGCCAACCACTATAAAACCGACTACCACTAAGCCTACAATAAGCACACCAGCAAGACCAATAGTTAATCCTTCGAAACCTGAAAACTTCAAGGTGGTCTGTTATTTTACTAATTGGGCGTGGTATAGGTACGTAGTTCACACGATAGACAAATAAAGTAATTCGAAATTAATAAATACAATTATTTGTAGACAAAACGGTGGCAGATATTTACCGAGTGACGTCGATCCATCGCTGTGCACTCATATTGTCTATGGGTTCGCCGTGCTCGACAATGAAGATTTGAACATAAAAGCACACGATTCGTGGGCGGATTATGACAACTGTGAGTGCATGTAAAACGCTCCGATCAAACACAAATAATAACGTTATGCATCTTTTCTTTGCGCAGTATTTTACCAAAAAGTGACGGAGCTCAAAAAATACGGAATCAAGGTTTTATTGGCAATTGGCGGTTGGAATGACTCGGCCGGTAGCAAGTATAGTGAATTGGTAAACAATCCAAATGCTCGTAGCAAATTTGTCAGGCATGTGGTAGGTTTTATAAAGCAAAACAATTTTGACGGACTAGATGTCGATTGGGAGTATCCGAAATGCTGGCAGGTAAACAACGTTTAATTAGCTTAATGAACAAATACAATCACTGTTTATCATTATTATTGATATTTGTTTGATTACAGGTGGACTGTAAACGTGGTCCGAATAGCGACAAAGAAGGATTCTCGAATTTATTGACTGAACTAAGGGAAGCATTCGACAAAGAAGGGTTCCTATTGTCGGCCGCTGTATCGCCTAACAAAGCCGTAATCGACGCAGGTAATGATTGTGCCAAGACAATATAATATAATTAGTTTAAAATCATAATGCACGTTTGTATAACATAAAATATTATTGTTTCGTCGTTAGGATATGATGTACCTCTGCTTTCGAGAACGTTGGATTGGATCTCGGTAATGGCATACGACTATCATGGACAATGGGATAAAAAAACTGGACACGTGGCCCCGATGTATAGTCATCCGGACGATACCGATATGAAATTCAACGCGGTATTATGAAAAAAAAATTGCGTTTTTCACTACCGACTTTATACTAACTCACGCATGTTCACTAAATTCCAGAACTATACTTTATACTATTGGGTGAGCAAAGGAGCAGACCCTCGCAAGTTAGTCATGGGCATGCCGACGTACGGTCAGTCATTTTCGTTAGCTTCTTCCAAGGAAAATGGGTTAAATGCTTTGACTTACGGAGGAGGTGAAGCCGGAGAGGCGACCAGATCTCGAGGGTTCATGGCTTACTACGAAGTGAGTTAACAATACTTATAAGGTTCTCATAGAACTCAAATCAATAATTTTATACTTTTTCCCCACCTTCAGATTTGTTATAGAATTTTGAAAAAAAATTGGCGAATAGTACAAGATCCGTTGGGAACAATGGGTCCTTATGCATACAACGGCAATCAGTGGGTGTCTTTTGACGACCAGGAAATGATTAAATACAAATCAGAATTTGTGGTTCGCAACAATCTAGGTGGCGCCATGATATGGGCACTGGATTTAGACGATTTTAGGTGAGCGATCGACTAAGTGATTTTTTGCATCATCATTACAGCTGGTAATTTATTTATTCAAAGGAACGTGTGTGGCTGTGAAACGTATCCGTTGCTTAAGACCATCAACCGAGTACTTGGTCGGCTACCGGGTCCTTCCCCAGATTGTTACCTGGACCTAAACGAAAACGATATCGATGGCAGGGAATCTTTAGATAACAAAAGCGATGAAAAAATAGAAAAAAGTAACAAAAATCCTAGTTGTACGGAACCACTTTTAAGAGGTTTTCCGGAAGATTGCAATAAATACGAGATATGTCAATTCGGTGAACTCAGTGTACAGAGCTGTCCAGAATCGCTATATTTCAACAAGGTAAATTTGTTACAGTACATTTTTTTCAAACACAAGTCGAATATACTATTTATTGTTTTTTTAGAAAAACGCATTGTGCGACTGGCCTGAGAACGTCAACTGTACTAAACAATTATTATCGAGTTAAACTCTTCGGTTTGACGGCATCGACGTATCAAGACTGAAATCGTACCGCATATTGACCCTATCGCAAGAGTCATACCATAGCTATTAGTATTATTATAAAATAAATTGTATTTATTGTAATTAGTGTTGTAGTCATACGTGTACTATTGGCCATATACGAATAACCGAATTGCTGTACGTTGACGAGTGAATCTAAATTATTTTACCGGTTGTGACAAAAAAAAATTATTATTCCTTAAATTTAACAAAAAAAAAATTAAAGATATACCTAAATATAGTATTCACCTGTATGTATTATCATATTATTCTTATACAACATGTAAATTATTATATTTTATAATATGAAAGGAAACTAATTTTTATTATAGGCATTAACGAAAAACACCATAATATAGAATAAGCTTATTCTGTAAATATTATTAATAGTAATATATAAATAATAAAATAAGTCATTTAATTGTACAAAATAAACATATCTATGAAAATAAAATAATCAGATTATAAATTTATTAAATATATTATACACCTAGTTATTAATATTCAAGGCTAATCTAAAAAATCTAAGTTTTTAAATAGTATACCCCAACAACACGCCTTAATCCTTATCCCTTATGGTGTTAACTTAACGCCAATACACTAACAAAGGGGTAAGGGTTATTTATTTTTTCCGATAATTTTAATTAAAATAATTTAAACAATAGTTTGTGATTGTGTTTATTTTGGATTATTGTCCTTGTATATTGATATAACATCGCCTATGAATAGTGAAATTGTAAGATTGGAAAGTCTATTGTTTGTGGTTTGAAGACTAGAAAGAGTGTTACCTATTTTAACTTGGAATGTTATTTTTCGATAACATTTTAATATTATTCCTTATATACCCTGCTCTTTTAGCGTCGTTACGTGTTCAATGATAACTTGTATGCGTTTTTAGGTAAGTTGGCTGGTTGTTTATAAGATTTTATTTATGCAAAGCATACAACTGAGGGATTTAATATGAATATTGTGTGACTGTCTATGAGTTGTTTTGTAGAAGCCATTTTTTGGTATGATAGAGGATCAGTGAGATTTTTATACATCTAAGATTTGCAACTTCTGTCGGTTATAAATGTAAGAATTTCTTGAATAACCGTTTCTAATTTATCTTTCAAATTTTTAGCGTTTTTTACAATACTACATTTTCTACGTGTCTGAAGTGTTTTATTTTTTAAATATTTTAAATTTTTTAATATGTATAACCACAAGTGTTGCTTATTTTTTCCTAGATTATAGACAAAACTTCAAAAAACATCACAAAAAAAAAATCAAGTTTGCTGAAGCCGTTTATGACTTGTGAGTGAAAGGGATTCCTTCTTCGATGGGTTCGGTATTTTAGCCGGATCATCGTTTTCCATCTATGTAGTTTTAGTGGTATCGATGATTTCGTTAAGGAGTTCGTTTTATTCGTATACTATTTTATTTTGTGTTTGATCATGGGAGTGACGTTTAATTGTTCAGTCTTCAAACTCAGTTTTATTGAAGAAGTTAGTTAATAATGGTAAGAAGCTGAAAGGTACCTAGTGGATTTACATGAGTAGCAAAGTTTTAAATTATAAGTATTTGTGATTAATGGGTAAGTCATGTAGTTTGTGAACTTATTTTTGTTTTACACAAAATTTACAAATTTTTCCCTGCTCCAGTAAATGTTCTTTGTGATGTAGAATAACATTACAGAAGAACTGTTCTGTAATTTCGTTACTGTAGTTTTTGGCTCAATAATTTATTTTTCAAGCTCTGATGTTATTTTATTGGAATTTCACATGCCGTTTAAACAGTACTATTTCAATCTTCTGGCTAAATGATAATGTAATAAGTGTATATATTGATAGACTGCAAAAATGAAAGTCCGCAAAAATATTTTGTCACTAGGCATAAATGCCTTGATTAGTGGAAATAATAAAGATAACAAGTCAAACTTATTAAACGAAAATTAACATTTTAATATGATATATGTGACTGTCTAACGGTATTTTCACAGAACTTTTAATATTGTCAAATTATGTTAACATCAAATTTAGTCAGAAAATCAATATTTTATAACACATATGTTTCAATGAAATACCCTATAAATTATACATTTAATCTTTACGTGTATATATATTATTATTTTTAGAGCTTCAAACAAATATTATACTTTTCGTACATTATAATAACAACATTTTTCACAGAAATAAAATATCAATAAACTGTTTATATTTCTATATAATAGCTATGTGGGATGTTAAATAATTATTGTGATATTTTACTTTACATAATATTGTTACACCGATACTATTATAGTTTAACTCTTATTCGCTTATCTCTGCGTCAAATATGAATCTATTCCTATGTCTCCAACTGGGTACTTAACAATTGTATTACATCAGAGAAAAGAGCCTTTCCTTTATGCGATTACAAACACAATTTAATGGTATCGAGGGTTTTAAACATTTTATGTTGTTCATGATTCATCGGTTTAACGACCGTTCCATTTTAATTAATGAGTACAATAATCGTTGGTAGATAACAATAAGTATTAGCAAACAGCTATTTTTAGCGTTCTCACACAGAAGCTTCGTTTGTAGACTTGTAATATGTTTCCACAACAAGGTATGCCTATCAACACTGCACTAATGCAAAATAATGAGATATATAAGATCTATAATATTATGTAAAATTACATAATTAGTATTTCGCTGTAACGCATAAGGCACAATATCAATCAAATGCGACAAAATTGGAAAGAGAAATTTAAACTACTTTCACTCCCAACTCCCAAGTATATTACAAGAAAGCATAAAGACAGGCGCACGGACATTGAGTGTGTTTCCGACAGTTCCTGATCACCTTTCAGTTAGTGTACTCTTCCGCCTACCACGGGAATCATGGAGAGCGTTCACACTTTGGTAAGTTTTTTATTGAGCCAATGTTTATTATTATTCAGCCCCCATTGTTGATTAAATAAAAATAACTTTTAACAATATAATTTGTTTTAAAACTATTTATTTTCAAATCTCACTTCTTTGACTATTGTTCAGAAATGATCTAGATACACTTCAATTACAGGAAAATATCGAATGAAGTGTTGAAAAGATGTATTAAAATTACTTGTCCTTAGATTTAGCAGTGAGAACTGAGATAGTTAGAATCGAACGTACAAAACTGTTTACACTGGAGGAGTGGAAACCAAGTATTACAGAAGAAGATAAATTAAGATTGAAGCCAGGGAAATAAGTTGCTTATAATTTTAAAATACATATTTTGCCTAAATAAGTTGTAGAAATATTTTATATTAGTACTACTGAATCTAACAGGACCTCTGACCAGTTTCAATTTTTAAGCAAAATAAATAAAGTGATAAGAACTTTATGGATGTCGTTTTTTTTCTCAATAAAAAGTATTTCATAATGTGATATTTTATCAATGAGACTTTTTTTTATTGATTTTTGAAAGAGATTTTGAAGAAAACTAATGAGCCGCCCACAAAAGTACATTAAACATATAGTTTTCACTTTGTTCTTTTGTAAAATTTTGAAAAAAATTGCACTTATTCCATTCTAGTTCTTACCTTGAAAAGTTGTATTAATTATCACGCTGTCTAAAAAAACGTTTATACTTTTTAAAAATGTTACTTATATTAATGTCCACCATGTTGTCAAGCCTTGTGCGCTTGTGAACTGCAGTTAATTTCAAAACACTGGCTCTTATCATTTATGTACAAGACTTGGCGCTCATTTTCCAAAATCCTCTACAAATTAATAGGTTGAAAGGATACATTAAAAATGTTATATTTGACTTTAAAATGGCATGTTTAATTATTCAGGGTTGGACTTTGTTAGCTGTGTTGTTGTTGACCTGCTGCGGACCTCAACGACAGTGTCAGGCGGCACCGAAGCCCGGCGAGGGGCTCACCCCCTTTGGGTTCCTTATGGCCAAGCCATTTGGTCAACCGTCCGACCACGCGGTCATGCGACATATTTCGTTTAAGCCCAACGATGGCGCCAAGTTCAGAGAGTCGTTTGAAAAGAAACACGGCCCAAGAGGTCGCGACTTGATTGACAGTCTGGGAACAGGATCATACAAAACAAACACCCAAAAGACAGAATCGGTAAAAATTAAAATTTAATAGATATCTTTCCTGTTTTCAAAAAGAATTAGTATACGATTATCGTGTTTGTTTATTAAATTCTATATTTCGCTATAATTGCAACGTTTATTCAAATTAACGGAACTACATCTTACATGCTAGTAATAGTTAAAAACTCAATGAAATTCAATCATAAACGAGAGTAAATAATTTGTAATTTGTTCTATGTGCATAGAGTTTTATCCAAAACACTTTTAGGATTCCTACTAAAATATATTAAACCGCTCTACACATTTAATGACTGATCTCATAAATCGAAAATCCAATACAACCTAAACCAGCAAGAATGTCTGTTATTTGTTTCCCTCTAAATTTCTGTCAAGTAATATATTACTTATTAAATCAAGTTGCTTAACGTTTACACATGGTGTTCTAATTAATTTGAAATTTATAAATGGTCTCTTTTGACATGTTTACATATTAAAAGCAATATAGCCTGGTGCATTCTTCAAAACTGTTATTAATTTAATAATTTAAGTATTAATTGTAAAAAATGACTGCATAACATTACGTTTGTGTTCTAAATTAATATTCTGTTTTTATTTCGCAGGGTATTACTACTTCCGGGAATTCTACAGCTATTTCAATAAAACATATTTCACCACAAAATATTACGAAGTGATAGTTATGTATACTTGTAAAAGTATTTATGGTTCAATATCGCGGACCCAATATTTTCCAACGCGTTGTTCTGATCATTTAAGTATGACAGTGGACTTTATTCTATAACAGCTTAAACACCGATTTTAATATCGACGTGTGCTAAAGACAGATGGGATGCCTTAGAAAAGAATCCTACTTTATAGTTGGTTAAAAATGTTTTATTATGTATTTTTATGGTATTCATTGTACATATATTTTTAGTGTAATTTAGTTATATATTTATAATCTACATAATATAAGCACTGAATATTTAATAATTAAAACAAAATTGTATTTCCTTTAACAACGTGAATTATAATTTAATATTTGAAAAATATAAATATTAAATTTAAAAAAAAACTTAAAAAAAACTCTTTCCAGAGGATCTTTTACTTGTTATACAAAACAAATAGAATCGGCCAGCCAAAACCCTCTCCACAAACTCCTATCCGAAATCATATCTTTTACTTCCTCTTTTATTAGAGGATATATTTTAACATTTAACTATAAATATTTGTTAAAACCTTACACCTTACATCGGCAATATTACATAACAGGATATACATTCACGCAACATATTTACTACAAGAAATACAGGAACTTGTTATTAACTTGATAAGAACTAGGAATAAATAACAAGATTTCCGTTTTATGGTTGTTTTATGACAGTATATAATGGAAAATGTATCGTTGACAGTTAAACTTGGATAGTTTATAGTTAATGATTTTACATTATAGCATTATTTTATTATTGGTTTAACACTTCAGCTAACTGAATTACTATTAAGATTGTCGAGAAAACGAAATATTTATCTGTACAACATTATAGTAGTACATTACAACATGTAGTTGTATAACTTTTATTTCATAAATAATTAGAATGAAATAGCAAGTAAGTATAATATATTAGTGTAGGTACATAAAGTATTAATAAAATATATATAGTATAATATAAAGCTAATTTTTTTTAACCCTCCCAATGGATAGTAGCCTATTCAATTCAGAAATCTCTAAACAATTTCAAACTCTTAGCTTAACACTATGAACTTCCTAGGGATTTTTTTTTGCATTTAATTAAAATGGACAATTTTGTTTATTCATTTAAAAAATGCTAACTTTAAAACAATTCAATATTTTTGCAATTAAAAATATATTCATAATGCTGAAATATGACACTTCTTAAAAAAAAAAAGCTTTGACAGCCATTATGGGTTATTGTTATACCGCACCAAATCTCTTGTTCGTTTTGCTGTACAACTTTTACAATTATTTATGAAACGAGTTAGCTTTAATATACTACTAAAATAAAACTTAAACCTAACCTAACTGATTATGAGGTCTTTTGTTTTAATACTAAAAATGCGATTATGCAAATCTTTCGTGAATAATTACACAAATTTAACAGATTTAGTTATTTACTTAAGAGTTTTGTGTATCACGCACACCGCCTTAAATTATAATAATATATTATGTAAATATTAGACTTGAACTCTTAAGCAACACTTTGCAATCGATCAAGTATCGTGCATTGCCAACATTTAGCCAAAGCCATTTACATAAACAATTTACATGAACACTTCATATCTCTGTATGAATAATAATTCAGGATTCCGATTGAACAAGCAATGATGTCAATGGTTTATTAAACATTATATTGATACCATTATATAAATAATAACACAATAGTGTTCACGAATAACTTTAATGGCATTTGTAAACATTGTAGAAATCATTATTTACATTGTTTATAACACCATAACAGTATAATTATATGTCATTAAGTGTTAAAGTATAGTACAATTATTTTGTTTTATGTATTTCATTCTTATTCAAAATTGATATCCGTTGTGTATAATTATTGTTGGTTAATTATTAGGGAAAAAGCAACTGCGTGTCAACATAACAGTAATCTAGACCAAATAATGTACATTTGGCCCAACATGATATGTATATATTATATAAAAAGCCTAGGGAAAAAATATTGTGCCAATGCTTATTATATTGTATTTGTAACAATATTTATTCCCTGACGCTTTTGTAAGCGTTAAAATTACTTAATAATTTACAAATATATAATATACTTAGGTTATGAAGTAGGCATTTAAATAATGATAAAAATAATAAAATTTATACACCAGATATTATACATTTTATTAGTTAATAATATTTTCGCATAATAATATTAACTGACAGCCATTTTTTTTTTTGCAAAATTATTCATAGAATAAATTAAAAATAATAATTATAATATAACAAATAATATTTTAGTTTTATTTGATTAACGGGGAAAACAAAACAAAAACAATTTTTTTTTTTTTGAAATTTGTACTATTTTAACAATTGACAATTTCACCGCATACATAATAAAAAGAAAAAAATATAATAAGTGTAAAGTTGTTGAAGGAATTTGTTTTTGTCACAATGAGCGCAGTTTCAAACACCGTTCTTGGGCGACGTCTCTCGGTTAAACATTTATAAAATAGGACATGACACGACAATCATATTATACTTGTTTCATTTTTTTTTTTTGCCTAAGTACATATTATTACAATATCTCTAACAACAATAATATTATGCTATTACAGTTCACACACAATTCTTAAGCTAACTTATATAATATTTATTTTAATACTGTACTACAGTATAACATATTGTATTTACTAATTATTATTTGTTTACCATAAAATATATTATACAGATATTATCATAGTGAACACACAAACGAAAACATCCGAAAAGCTGTATACATTGTACAACGGTTAGGATATTGTGCTTAAACTTTAAAATTATTTACGATTCTACTTAAGATATTATATAACCACGGGGCAGACCGTTATTTTTTCCATTGAGCTATTCGTTTACGAATTTCGCGACAACCGAATGTATAAATGTATATTAACTCGTCGACGTTAAGACGGTTAAAATCTTTTGAAATTCGTAAAAGAATGCAAACGTGTCTGCCACTGGTTTTTGGTAACATTCGAACCACCAACGAGCCTCAGCAACGGAGGATTTTTTCCTTATTATTATTATATATATATATATATATATCTATACATTACATGAATAATCTTATGTAATTTTTTTTTTGTTTTGTTTTTTTTAAAAAAGTCGTTATTATTAATTTAAATGATAATTTTGTAAAAAAAAAAAAAACTAATAATTATATTATCTAAGCGAGAGCGTGTTGCGATTATATTATATAAAAACAATTTTTAAAAAAAAAAAAAATCACAAAAGCAATAATTTGACGTCAGAACGGTAAGTGAAACCGCGAGAAATAAAAAAAAATAATAAAAACGTCATGTTCTTATGGAAGAGGAAGCTTAGCCTACAGTTGACGGGTTGATGTGATGATTAGCGACGGTAATATGATGCGGTTGATGTACGACATCAGTGGATTCCTTCCAACGGAGAGTAAGACTTGTATTGATACAATTCCGGTCCACCGTAACCGTACAGAAGGCGACCGCGTCCGTTCTCATCGTAGTACGGATACCTGTACTTGGGCCTGTGTTAAACAAAACGAAATACAGCTATTAGAAAAAAACAACGTCCTTGGTTTTAAGGAAAAGACTGCGAAAACAGACCGGACAGCTGTCATACGTTACCTTTCAAAGTACTGGAAGTTCGGCGCTCTGGGTGTCAACGTCGCGTTGACCGCTGTGGCGATTAACGCCACCGTAGCGGTCACTAGTAATAGCTAAAACACAACAAAACATACCGTGTTATTACTCATCGAGTAGTAGTAGTACATGCAAATTCGATTATAATCGATTGTATAATAATGACGATGATGCGACGCGAACGTCGTGTCATCTTCAGCTGTCCAAAGAACACTCTAAGCGGCGTTTAACGATTCGCAGAACACAGCCGGGGTAAAACCCAAGCTAATATGACAAATCTAACCACCTAACCTACAGAATTTGTTCGCGTCATCCCCTACAAACCTTGCCTAACCTGACCTATTAAAATCGGTCATTTTCATATATGTATATCACACTAAATCCCTGTTACTATCCCTGCTACTACGGCACATATACTGTGCCGTGATAACCTCGGGCAATCACACGTTATTCTACTTGCCACTTCTTTGAATTTTCTTGTTAACCCAACACAAACGCTCAAGTTTCCGTGTGTTTTCTTTTAACCACTTGCTCACCGAGGTCCTTTACTTACACACAAATTACCCGCAGCACTTCGCCAAGCTTCTGTGCACACACTTATTTTCCTAGTTGAACGATTCAGAGCACATCAGATAAAGCATAAATTACCGGGATTGCAGTTATAGGACTACACGTTTCCTATCGAAATAGTCTAACGATCCGACACGATCAGGCAAACTCGCTTGTTTGTCGTTTACATAATCACATTATTATAGATCTCCGTATCGACATCCGGTACTGTCAAATTCGGTGCCTAAACTATACAGTGGCAAAATTCTCGGATCGTTCACCGTGTGCGCACAACAGCTGATGATGAATACATATTTTGAACCATGAATGATATAATATGTAAGAAGAAAATGATCGATAACCAAATAGGTGTACGAACTCTGGATCATCGCTACCAACAATACGGTAGTCGGCCAGCGTTATGATCATAAAAAAAAACACACACACACACAAAAAAAAAGTCGAGCCGAAAAATATTATTATCTGTGACAACACCGCACGAGGATGACCATATGGACGGTGAAAAAAAAATCGATTAATTTCGCCTCCGAATGGATCCGGCCGGATGTCCCGGGGGGAAAGTATAATAAGTTAAGAACAGTCCGTTTTCACTATCGTGTATACGCCGAGATGAAACACGCGTTAGGTCGTCTTAGTATAATTATTTTTATTAATACGGCACGGCGTGGTCCGGCATTTGTCGCCTAACAATCCAGTAGTGTACACGATAATAATCAAACATTTAATACAAGCTAACAGATACTCATAAATTTGGGATTTACACAGAAAAATCTACCTACACCTTTTCAAATATCAGACGTAGAAATATTATTGTAATTAAAGAAAAAAAAACGCATTCAAAGTCCTAAAAACCTAATCCGACCAAGTATGGATTATTTTTTTTTTACATCGTCATTAAATTAATATTACAACGATACCAACACAATGTAATAATTGTTAAGTTATTTGTAATAAATATCTGAACAATTTACAAGCCGCGAGAAATGAAAACACAGATATTCTTATAATAACAACAATAATTACCGACGCCACAAAGTAACTAAATTGTTGAGACAATGCCATCTTTTTTGGGTTCAATCTTTGTGGCGTGATCGAATACAAAAAAAAAAGTAAGTATGCGTACTACTTAATGCGTAAACACGACTCAGACGTGCTGATAATGGCAAATCGATTGTTCGGTAACAATTCACGAGTGCTTCGAAAATGATGCACGGATATTTGAAAAACAAATTTCTATTGGAAGTCTTAACTGAGGATTTTTTTTTGTTTTGTTTGCATTACAATCGAATCTGTATTTTACGGTTTTTATTTAAATTTATCTCGCGGAAATACAAACAGGTAAAATAAAATAAGGAGACATATAAGTTATTTCTCAAACGATAAAAGGTTTAAAAATAAAAAATAATTATTTAAAAGTCGAAAAAAAGTCTGAGGAAAAAACGATAACAAGTTTAAGTACTAAAATAATAATTATCTTGCATAATAATGCGTTTTCAAAACGTTTAAACGGGCTTAGGTTTTTGGGAAATTCGAAAATAATTATTACCATACTCGTGTTTTTTGTATAATTAGTCGAAGAATATTTTACACACAAAAAACTAAACAATAAGTATAGTTGAAAACTACTGCAGTAAAAAACCATACTCGTAAAACAATTATTGAAAAACAATAGATGCAGCTTGTTCAACTAAATAAGTTGTACTTTATGAACCTACATATTTTATTATATCTAAAAAGTAAAATAATAGTTTTGTTGTCTGAAAATAAATACAATTTTGTTTTTACAAAATTCAATATTTTTGATATGCGAAAAGTGCAAAATGCGTCATTGACCAAAAGTGTGAAACCATTCATCGGTTTTGGGTTTTTTTTTTCGTGTAAAATACACTATTATTGTTACAAACAATATAACAGTTTTATTTAAGGGAACGCCTAACACGGCTATAAAACAAAGTCGTTAAACGAAGAACTTAGATGAAGAAAAATAATATAGCCACCGTTTGTGTGATGGCTATCGAACCGGTCAAAACCATATGTATAATAATAATAATAATAATAATATTATGCGGTAGGGTGCACGGCGTCATAAAATAAGTCTTTTAAAATGTGCGAATGAATTTATTATACCGTTCAACGGCTTTTAGTCGAATTGAATAATCAGAAAAACCGCGTCCAAATAAAACACACTCGGTTGTAGCTTTCTAAAAAAAAACAAAATAAAAAAAAGACCTCCAATGATTGAAAATGCAGAGTTGATCGCGATACAAATATATAGACACAAGTCTCGTTCGATTTGACACTGCAAATATACTTTTCGTTTTTCTCCACATTGTTGGAAAGACCGGGGCCATCCCTCAAACGGCAAGACAGATTAGATGTAAATTATTTTACATATAATTGGATTATGTTTTTTTCTCCTTTTTATATTATTATTCCTGTTAAAATGGAATTCATTTGAAAAAGTTCCATAACTGTTTCGTCGGCCGTTTATGAATAAACCCTGAACTTCGCCTCGGAAAATTGGATTTTGACAATCGGGTCAAGTGTTTTTGATTAATTGACAAGACTTATCGAGTTTGGAAATATCGGTCGGTTAAACGCTTTTAAAATGTCTTTTCACTTTCTAAAAAAATATCGAGTTCCAAATAAAAAACACATTTTATTCGCTAACGAATTGAAAATTTGACTCTTGAATATTATAATAAATTATTTAAAAAATATGTCAATCAATACGAGTGCCGATTGTGAGTTTACCATTTAAGTGACGCTTTTAGCTTCACCCGCATCGTTAAACCATTCAGAAAAAAACCTCGTTACACTAAATTAAGTTAATACAAAATTGCGTTCACTGTTGAATTTCTGAAATGATGAGGTAAAATGCATAATACCGTCAATAATCGAGTTAGTTGTAGTAATAGATAAATTTGTTGACGGTTGTTTATTAGATTTTTTTTAGTTGCATTGTTATTTATACATGTTAATAATAATATAATGTGTAATTAATAATAATTTATTTAGCCTAAGTTAGCTCAGCATCAGTCCCTCTATATAGATCTTTAAATTAAGAGATGCCAGTACCAGAAATGATATCGTTTTTTCAAGATCACGGAAATACGAGTGTTGTAGTTTAACTATGAATAATGTAAGATTTAGCGCCGTGCTATGGGGAGGATGAGTTAATTTAGGGCGGCGTTCATTAAGGGGGCGCCTATTTTACAATTTTCATGATTGAGGGAGAGGGATTTTGTGACAAAGGGGTGGAAAAAAGCTAGGGTATTTATAGCACAGTACTGGAAATAAGGCAAGGAGTCATTCTCATATTAGGCCTGAGAGAAAAAAATAATATTATTAAATACTTAATTCATTCAAAGTTAGTGTGAAAATATTTTTTGCCTACATTATTACCGTTTTACATAAATCGTTTTTAAAATAATATTGTGCTGCTTACGAGTTAACCATCGTTAAGTATGTGAACTTGTAAAATATTCTATTATAGATTATTAAAATTTTAGTTTTAGAAAGTTATCCTATACAGCACAAAGAAATATGTATATTTTTAATTCAAATATAATATTAATATATTTATGTGGTCAATATAAAAATTAAAAGCCGTTCACGATATTTATTTAAAATATTAATTTTATACTGGGTTATTTGAGTTTGGTTTATTAAAGATAAAACAATTTTTTTATTAACATATATTTAGAGTATTTTACAGGTTTGGGTTAAACAATTTGGAAACCTGTGCAAAAGAAAGCAGTCTTTGTAGGATTTTCGAGCGACGAACTACCAAATTTATATTTTCCAAAAAGAAAAAACCCGTGTGACCCACTTACGGAAGTCCAGCCGTTTGCGCGGGTCTGACCTAGTTGGCATCCGGGGCCGTGCGCCACTGGCCGTGTCATACATGTGCGGCGTGCACGCGCTGCACTCCGAGAAGGGACTCCGAGAGGGAACGGGCGGGCGGACGACCTTGGTGGGCGACCCAGTCCTGCGGGAAATTGACCTACTAAAAGGAAAATAGTCGTCCTGTGCCACTCGCGGGGCGGGAAACCCTCCGAGAAAACGGCAAATGGCCAAAATAAAACATCCTGCGGACACTTACCGGGCTCTAGTCGGATGCGGTTGTATTATCACAAAACATGTTTGAGGACGGACGACAAAGGCGGCGACAAGGATCCGCAGAGAACGACGTGTCGCGTAATCCGAACGATAGCGAACGCGACGGCGGCCGCGGCGTCCGTCGACTCGACGGACCGACGTCAAGCCGCTCACTCGTGCCGTGCCGCCGTCGACGGTGGCCGTCCGCGTTCCGAAAGTAGGTCACGCTCACACACTCACAGGCAAACACGGCACAACAGGCAGCGCTATGATGGCGACGGCGGCGGCGGCAACCTATCACTTTCACTCCAAAGCCGTCACCTCCGCCTCCATAGGTACCATAATATTATGGCAAAATCCTAATTATATACAATATATTGTATGTAATTTGCGCCACCGTTACCGAGCCAAGTGTTTGAATAATATTACTCTCAGAATGGTGGGGGATTGTCGTGTGTCAAATGGTACAAATGGTGTAGAGTGGGCAAAGTCCGTACCAAAGTGTTGACGATTATTTTAACGTCAGACAGATCGCTCATCGAAATCATTGAAACCAATCAAATAATAATAAATTATTGGACCAACAAAATGTATACAACATTGTGTATGTATACTGTAGAAATCATCATCGTGTTCTAGGTGTAGAACTCCGTAAGTGGTGTTATGGCCGCCACCCAAGCGGTGGTTTCTAAGCATATAAATATACTAAGTATAATTAACACATTAATCGTTATATACATCATACATTCTGTTTTCCGTGCAAACGTGTGATCGACGAAAGCGAAATGTTCGTATAATGTCCATGTAATTATGATATTATGGAGGAGAGGGGATGAACCCGGTAATCCTTCTTTCTCCTCGTCCGATGTCGTCGCTACATTATTTTGTGCAACAGGTGACGCACCCTTCCGCCAACAAACGTTTATTATTTTTTTTTTAATAACGGTCAGTGGACGACGCGGGTTTTTGTTTTGTTTAATAAAAACTAATCATCATAATTTTTTTACCGTTTTACCGACCATTGTTGTGCCTAAACTAACAACACCGTGTAACTTCGGTTGAACGCCTAAGGAAATCTCGGTAAAATGGTGCTCCTCGAGTATTTAAAAAAAAAACTACAGGTACTCCATGACAATACCGTAGTATAAAATGTTCTATGTTTTTCTAAAACTCGACAAGCACCACCAGTAGAGTAGGAAGTTATGAAAACCCCAATATCTTTTGGCCGACACCGAACGACCACCTATGATCTGTTGATATGTCATTAATTGTTTGTCGCGCGTTACCTGAGCATAAAAAGAATGTACTCGTAATCGTACCGGATACGATTTCAGTATCAGCTTTGGTATAGCTTTAGTAGGCGACACTGGCCAATGTTCGGAGACACGCGCAAGAGACAAATTCAAGCGAATTGCATAAAGCACCTAACAAAATATACTATTCAAGCTAACATAGAAGGACGCCCGGCCCTTTGCTCAACGCAATTGATAATAATCGAATTACAATTTTTTTTTTAAATTATGTAACAATTATTGTTATTATTGTGTACTTACCAAGCGGCTTAGAGACGGCATCTCTGTGTAGGAAAACCTGTCGACTCGGTCGTTGTCCGACGGCTACTGCGGCCGATGTACAGCGGGGGGACCCGAAGACGTGTGAAAGTGACTTTCACTTGGCGTTTGCGTCTCCGGCGGGGTCCGGTTCGAGGGCAGTCGAATTCGTTAGCCACACACGTGTCTCTGCCCCCTCTCGGTCTAATATACAAAATAATATATTACCATACACGCCTCCCCCCCAAAACTCGAATAACTCAAACGCCAAAGCAGCCCTTCCTTGCACGTGCCGCCGTCTAGTACACGGTGGGGACCCGACCGTACGATGCGAGGAGGATAAGCGCCGAAAAGGACAGAGAAAGTGAGCGAGTACCGTACGTTTGCAGTGACATTGAAAGTAAAAGTAAACGATAACAGTACCGTTAGAGACTTGTAGAGGCATTAACGTGATCGAGGTCCGTGTAATTTGCGTTTTCTTTTCCGCCGGGGAGATAGGTATAGGTATAACTGGTGTTCGTCGACACCTCATCCCGCAAGCCTTCCCAGACACAATGAGAAAAATAAATAAATTAAAAAAAAAAAAAACCAACGGTACTTACACCAAAGCGAAATCGTCGATGCCGTTAGAAAAGGGAAACTCATTGAAAGCGAACGCCACAAAAACGCTTGCATATTTTATCATCACTGTACGCATGATGTGTATATTTACAGTTGTTTTTTTTTTTACAGTTAACTCGTGGTAAGAAACTTTGAGATCTATATAGTTTATTATAATTGGTCAGGCTAGATGAGTGTAAAAGGGACTCTACATATTGTACGTACGTATGTCCTTTATACACTTGAGGATGATTATTATTATACTAGAAGTTATAGTAATATATGGTTATTATAACACTAAGGTGTCATGGGTTGAAATTACCTAGTCATTAGATAGCGTCACATTAGGGTTTCCCTTTTTTGCGCAACCGTTATTGCGGTTTCTATTACTATAACTTCTATTATGGCTATTATAGGTAAATTAATACATATATATATACGATTATAATGATGTACAAGGTTATTTCACAAAAATATGTCAAAGACACGCCACTGTGTGACAAAAGGTGAGCATATTTTGAATTGTTTATAATTACGAATGTCTCCATAATGAGACGATTAGTTGCATGATGCTTAATACTCAATATATGATTCAAAATGTCACATCAAATACAAGCACAGTTTTTTCTATTTTATCGATAACGCTTTTTTTTGCAGCTCGCAATAACTGTAAAATTATTTTTTAATGTTCCCTAGAAGAAAACTAGGTAGAAAATAATAAAATGTTTACTAAATTACCACGGTTTATACACACTGTACTCTATGCATATAATATATGGATACATGCATGTATGGGTCGACCTTCAAAAATGTATTATTTGGCGGTGCATTACGTGAATGTGTAGTTTTAATATTATTATATTGGAAGCAATAATTATGGTTTTACACGCTTTCTACGTGAAATAAAAGTTGTTGTGCATTACAGTGTTATACTAACGTTGAATTGTAACTGTAATATGCATAAGAAAATAAATTAAATACACAATGTACATAGTACAGAAAACACTTAAAAAATAAACATATGTGGCTAAACGATTTGAATCGTATTTTTATTGGCACACTATTGACTATTTGACGCATTTTAAGAATAGTCCAATTGTGTGTAAGCAATTTTTAATTTTTTTTATAATTTTATGTCTAAAAAAAAGTGTTTTATTAAAAAGTATGGGAATTATGCGTAGTTAAATAATTTGTACAATTTTTTAAAAAATCTATGAAAGCTACGAAATTTACCTAGTTTACAAAACATACTAAAAAAATATAAGAAAATTGTATAATATTATTTACCTATGATCAAACTAGTCTTAAGATGACTTAAATGGTCAGTTACATTGTAAAACCACATTTTTTAATCGAAAAATCTTCCCCAAATATTTTATAAAATGCATACATAATACATAATATAAAGTCAAACATTTTAACGTTTAGTTTTTTATTTCTTCTCAATTATTTGGAAAGTTATATACGAAACTAATATTAATAATATTTTCATAATATTTATTTATTTTTATAACTTTTTTGTACAAACATTATATTTATTTTGTTTGCATTTATGAATGAAATATTTAATTTAAAAGTAAAAATGTTTTCACTCCATATATTTTGCATGGCCTATTTTATTCCAATTAAATAATTCATATTATTGTATGGAACAAATTAGGTAACATTATACAATATTCTCGAACTGAATAGAACCATGGATGAGGGGTGTCCATCCAAAGTGAATCTATTCTGCGGGTTCTTTTAGATTTACACAAAAGTCACAATATTTTGCATTATTAGAACTGAAAACAAATCACTATATAGTTAGTTGCGGCATGTGCAATAAAAAACGACCAATACAAACCGTAACGTATTCGAAACGTCAACATCCGTTTACCTTGTGCGTAATCGCCGCATTGCAATTCCACCATAATTACCATTGCAGTACGTGCAATGTAGGTTCTAAGTAGTACAACAGTGCATAACACCTAGGCCTGTTATGATTTACATAGGTGCGATACACACGGTAATATTACATATTGTTTTTTTTTTCACTCATATACCCACTAGTTTCTGTCGTAACACTGCCTAGGCTAGATTTAGTTTTGATTTTTAAACGAAATTCATTAAACTTTTTTTTTATTAATTGACATTGGTAAATTAGTTCACACTCAGAAATGAGACTACTACGTCCACTCGTATACGATTAGTCAGGCCAAGTGCCACCGCTATAAACTGTACTAAAACTACTGCAGACTACATTTGATGGTAATATTATTGATCATTGACTGAATGACGTTAGAACACCTACAGCGTTGGTCTTATTATAATACACGTTTATCTAGATGAAGCGATAGTTAAAGATTTGTCTGCTAAAATATATTATTGATTTTTAAGATATCATAAAATAAAATGTACCTATGTACTTTGACGCTGATTAGTAAGCTGTATCGATTGACAACCTTAGCATCAAAGCAGAACGACAGTAATACAATGAAGATTTGTTATAAATAAAATAGGTTATAATTCATTATTCGATTATTATTTATGACAAAATTATTAGTTATTCGTTATTAGTTTCAAATGATTTATTATTTATTATCATTTCCTAATTAAATGTATTATTAAAGTTTTAATTATTTATTTAAATGTCTAAAAATAGTAATTGATATATTTTTTTTTAATTACCTAAAAACCCCTTAAGGATAATAACTGTTTTTTAGTTATTATTAAGGAAATGTATTTTAAATAAACTTGAAAATATCTGAGATAATTGTATGAGTAAATAATAAAT